TTGGGTTAAGGAAACGTCTGCAAGAAAACAAGCCAACTCAGAGAGGACCAAGGACACCTCTTTTCTGCCTTCCAGTTTTATCCCAGAAACCATTTTGTGAAATAGGTTGATCATACACACATTCACCGGTCCAAAATTACCCAGTGAGCTTTCGTGACTAACAGCAGATTTTAACACGGTCTATACCCTAACCGCTACACTGCACATATAGGATCTCCTGCTTGAGCAGGGGGTTGGACTAGAGGACCTCCAAGATCCCTTCCAGCTCTATTCCGATTGATTGGACACTCCAGGTGTGGCAATTGGTTTCCATGGGCTGCATTATGTCAGTCGTGCTGATGCTCACGAGGTTTCCTCTTTCCAAGCAACAGGTCCAGAGTTACAAAACATTTGATCTAGCTGGATCGTTGTCTTCATCTAATGAAGCAACTTCCCGGTGAGTTTTTCGGAGGCAACAGACAAGAACGAAGATAATTACATTGAGATGCAGCCAATGTTTTGGCTCAGGGCCACCACGGAGACATAAATCCCTAACTCCACTTTATCTTCACTAGTTGATCAGCGATAACATCACCCGACACTAATTATGCTAGTCATGCATTAGGGCTATTAGTTTTGTAATTTATGTGTCCCTGATCAGAGAAACATTTTCTTGGGTTATTGCAAATGGAACTGTCTCCTGGAGCTGCCGTCCCAGCAGACGTTAAGATTGATGTCCTCCCATTTAACGTGCATGGAAAGTTGTTCAGGCAATTTCTGGAAGTAGGGATTTTTCCATGTGCATTTGAGGATTGAGGTGTGAGTCGCTGCAGCACTCTGTAATTAACCAGTGGAACCACCTGCCTCCAGAAGCTGTGAGTGCTCCAACACTGGAAGTTTTTAAGAAGAGACTGGACAGCCATTTGTCTGAAATGGTATAGGGTTTCGTGCCTGAGAAGGGGGTTGGACTAGAAGACCTCCAAGGTCCCTCCCAACTTTATTATTATTATTATTATGGATCATCGCACAGTCAGCCAGATGTTCAGACTGGATTTGGCATTTTGTCTACCTATCGAGTCCTTACCCAGGACCTGGGATAGGCAGATGTGGATGTTTGATGGTATGACAGATATCGTCGCAGGATGGAAGCAGTTCCTAGTAAGGCCGCCTTTTGCAATTGACTAATAGCGAATTTGTCAATGCCAATGGTGTTCAAGTAGTGCTCCAGTTGTTTTGGGATTGCACCCAAGGCACCTATTATTATTGGTACTACCCTTGCTTGCTTTTGCCACAGTCTTTCTATTTCTATTTGTAGGTCTTTGTATTTTGTTATCTTCTCCAGTTCTTTCTCTTCTATTCTGCTATCTCCAGGCAATTATTATTATTATTATTACTATTGTTATTATTATTATTATATTTTTCTGATACCAGTGCTGTAGTTATTAACAGACTTTAACAGAGTTGGAAAAGACCTTGGAGGTCTTCTAGTCCAACCCCCTGCTCAGGCAGGAGACTCTATAATAGTGATGGCGAACCTTTTAGAGACCGAATGCCCAAACTGCAACCCAAAACCCACTTATGCATTGTCAGGTGCCGGGTGGGTGTGGCCCATTGGGTGGGCGTGGCCCATTGGGTGGGCGTGGTTGCAGTAGTAACAGCAGACTGGATGGGACTAAAAAGTTCAATCAATCAATTCCAACTTTGCAAGAACTTTTTTTTCCCGCGAGAAATTGAAATTGACTGATTGATTGAACCTTTTTTTTTTGCACATGGCGGCAGAGGCCTAAAGCAAAAAGGTTTTATAAAACCCAGCTGAAGGCCTAGGACTGGGGCAACGGTGCGCGTGCCCACAGAGAGGGCTATGAGTGCCGCCTCGTGCCATAGGTTCGCCACCACTGACCTATACCATTTCAGACAAATGGCTGTCCAGTCTCTTCATAAAAACTTCCACTGTTGGAGCATTCACCGCTTCTCGAGGCAGATTGTTCCACTGGTTAATTGTTCTCACTGTCAGGAAGTTTCTCCTTAGTTCTAGGTTGCTTCTCTCCTTGATTAGTTTCCATCCGTTGCTTCTTGTCCTGCCTTCAGGTGCTTTGGGGAATAGCTTGACTCCCCTGTTCTTTGGGGCAGTCCCTGAGATATTGGAAGACTGCTATCCTGTAACCCCTAGTCCTTCTCTTTATTAAACTAGACCAGGGGTAGGCAACCTTGGCTCTTTACAACTTGTGGACTTCAATACCCAGAATTCCTGAATCAGCCGTGCTGACTCAGGAATTCTGGGAACTGAAGTCCACAAGTCATAAAAGAGCCAAGGTTGCCTACCCTTGAACTAGACATACCCAATTCCTGCAACCGTCCGTTAACCGGTCAGTCCTAGAGGAGATCAACCCTGACTGCTCTTTAGAAGGCCAGATCCTGAATTTGAAACTCAAGTACTTTGGCCACCTGATGAGAAGGAAGGACTCCCTGGAGAAAAACCTAATGCTGGGAAAGATGGAGGGCAAGAGAAGAATGGGACAACAGAGAATGAGGTGGCTGGATGGACTCCCTGAAGCAGGAGGCGTGAGCTTAAAGGGACTCCAGAAGATAGTAGAGGACAGGAAGGCCTGGAGGAACGTGGTCCATGGGGTCGCGATGGGTCGGACACGACTTCGCAACTGACAACAACAACCCCTGATCATCTTTGTTGCTCTTCTCTGCACTCTTTCTAGAGTCTCAACATCTTTTTTACATTGTGGTGACCAAAACTGGACGCAGTATTCCAAGTGTGGCCTTATTTGAACCCACCCTTGTTACGACCTATTTTATGTCCTTTAATTAGTGTGTTACGGTTGGGCACACCGTCAGCCAGATGTTTATACTGGATTTGGCATTTTTAGCCTCCAGTCAAGTCCTTCCCAAGGACCTGAGATAGGCAGAGGTTATTGTTTTAAAGTTAAAGGTATGTAGGTTATAGCAGGGACTGAGTGCCCAAAAACTGCCCCCCACCTCTGCCCCACCCACCCACAGGGCTACCCACCGCCTCCACGGCCTGCCGCAGATCACCCAGATGGCCCAGCAGCGCCGTGGTGGCCACGTCCTCTGTCCACGCCCCACAGCATCATCTGCGTGCGCCAGGGCGCGAAAGTCTTGTTCCCGCTGCCCGGCTGCGGGCCGCACCTGGGAAAGACTCTCCTCCGGGGGGGCTGCTGGTGAGAAGCGGGCTATGGGGGGAGGTGGGGATTATAACCACTGGATTATAGGATACAGTAGTCCTCGGCTTACAATCGTTCTTTTAATGGCAGTTCAAAGTTACAGTGGCACTGAAAAAAGTGACATGACTGGTTTTCACGGTTACGACCGTTGCAGCATCCCCAGGGTCATGTGATCAAAATTTGGGTGCTTGGCAGTTGCACTCTAATCACAATTTGGACTCTAATCACAATTTGTAACTTTCTCAGCCAGCTCCTGACCCACAAAATCAATGGGGGAAGCCAGATTCCCTTAATGACTGCAGGATTCACATAACAACGGAAGTAATTCGCTTAATATCGGAGGCCAAAAAAAGGTCATAAAACTCACATAACCACTACCTTGCTTAGCCACGGAAATGTTTGTTTCAGTTGTGGTCATAAGTCAAGGACTCCCTGCGTTAAGTCTCAAGAAATAGCCATGGTGTCAACGCTGCTCACATCAGATGTTTTTGCATTGACAACAGATGGAAATGTAGCCATCTTTTACCTTTTGCTTTTGGAGTTAGATGAGGCTGGGAGGAGGGATGTGAATGAGAGTCCAGCTAGACATAACAACACTAAACCTAGTGTGAGAAACAAGGTTATTGTAACCAGAGCTGATAAAGAATTGGTAGGGCTGGAGAGCTGGAAAAAAAGCTAATTGGAGAATGTGATTTATGACTGTTAATTGGAGGAGGGAATTGTGCTTTGATACTATGTGCTCAGGGGAGGGGAATTCAGTTTTTGGCTTCCATTATGCAGTGCCGATGTTATGCTACTCAAAATAAAGATTTTTTAAGGTAAACAATGCCTCAAAGTTCTTTTGAAGAGTTTCATCTGTCGGAACCATGACACATTGATTTCGAATGATCAGTGAAAGAGCTTGTGAATATGGCTTCTAAGAACATGACACATGCCTGGGACCCAGGTGGTCTGTGTTAATCGTGCGTGCCCAAATTTTTGGATAGTTTCAAAAACTAGTTTTTTTCACCCCCAAGCAGTGGGTTAGGATGCTGGATGAGCCTTTCTCAAAATGGGTCAGAATTCTGAATATTGGTTTTGCACTGTTGCAGATTGCATTCTTGATGTTTATTGTTTATCCCTGTTTATTAATCCTATTTTAACTAGCCAGAGTCACAGTTTGTGACTTGTGTGGTCCTATCAGTTGCATAAATAAACCAATAATATTTCAAAGCCAACTTGAGGAGTGATTCTAGGTCAGTGATGGCAAACCTTTTAGAGACTGAGTGCCCAAACTGCAACCCAAAACCCACTTATGTATTGTTGGGAGCCGGGTGGGCGTGGCCCATTGGCTGGGTGTGGCCCATTGGGTGGGCATGGCTGCAGTGGTAACAGCAGACTGGATGGGACTAAAAAGTTCAATCAATCAATTCCAACTTTGCGAGATCTTTTTTTTCCCACAAGAAGTTGAAATTAATTGATTGATTAAACCTTTTTTTTTTACACATGGCAGCAGAGGCCTAAAGCGAAAAGGTTTTATAAAACCCAGCTGAAGGCCTGGACTGGTGTGATGGTGCGTGTGCCCACAGAGAGGGCTCTGCGTGCCACCTGTGGCACGTGTGCCATAGGTTCGCCACTACAGTTCTGGGTCCTGCCTCCCAAATTTCCCCCTTGACCATCCCATTTCCTGTAGCATCAAAGTATATTTGTGTGGCCAATAAAATAGAACGAGCCAACTTTGGTCACAGTGGATGGGATTTACAGGATCAGCCAACTATGGAGAGGATTGGATTATGGAAAGCTGCATTACACCATGCTCAACTTTCATTTTCATTCTGCTTTTTCCAGCTTACAAAGAGAAAATGAAGGAACTGTCTCTGCTTTCGCTGATCTGTTCCTGTTTCCACACCCAGCCCCATCCAAATACCATCTACCAGTACGGAGGTAAGTGGCCCACATGTGTTTTGATCTGCAAAACCACAGACTCGTGCCTTCTAGAGATCTTGGCACTACAATACCCACAATTCCTCTTCCTAGGTCAAGGAGGAATAAAAACATGGAAGGCCAACTGCAGAAGACTGATGTAAATCATTGCATTTCCAGTGGGATACATATTCACATCTTTCCTTACAGCTGCATCTTGTCTGCAGTTGAGACTTGGCCTAACTCAGTTATAATGGATGGATGGATGGATTGATGATGAAAACAATGTTCCTCTTTCTGTCGCAACAGAAGGACCATATGCTGCTTTGAGCATGCAAAGGATCCATCCCTCAAACAGGGAAACCAAAATACTGTCTTGGGCTTATATCAGAGATAGGCAACCTTGGCTCTTTTATGACTCATGGACTTCAACTCCCAGAAGTCCTGAGCCAGCCTGGCTCAGCTTGGAAACCTCTCCCTTTCCCCTCAGCGTGGCTGGCTCAGGAATTCTGGGTATTGAAGTCCACGAGTCCTAAAAGAGCCAAGGTTGCCTACCCCTGGTCTAAACCCAACATTGGGTCCTTCAATGGCACCCTAGGAGAGGGGTAGGCAACCTTGGCTCTTTTATGACTCGTGGACTTCAACTCCTAGAATCCCTGAGCCAGTATGAGGGAGCTGTGGCCCCCTCATGACTCGTGGACTTCAACTCCCAGAATCCCTGAGCCAGCCACGCTGAGGGGAAAGAGAGAGGTTTCCAAGCTGAGCCAGGCTGGCTCAGGAATTCTGGGAGTTGAAGTCCACCAGTCATAAAAGAGCCAAGGTTGCCTACCCCTGCCCAAATGTCTGAATTTTGATCATGTGACTGTGAGGAAAAAATATTTAAATATTTAAACCAGGGGTCTTCAAACTTGGCCCTTTTATGAGTCGCGGACTTCAACTCCCAGAATTCCTGAGCCAGCATGAGGGAACTATGGCCTCATGACTCATGGACTTCAACTCCCAGAATTCCTGAGCCAGCATGGCTCAGCTTGGAAACCTCTCCCTTTCCCCTCAGCGTGGCTGCCTCAGGAATTCTGGGAGTTGAAGTCCACGAGTCATAAAAGAGCCAAGGTGGCCTACCCCTGGCTTATATAAAAAAAAACCCATTGCAGGAAATGGATAGGCAAGCTTCTTCCACTGCCTATTTTTATTCCTGATTTAGGTCCTCTGATTCCCTCAGTTTAGCTGCTGAAGGTAGCAAAAAGAAGAGGCTGTTTTTCCAGCCTGCTTTGAACAACGTCTTGCCTTGGTTTGTTAAGGTTCCCATTTATTTATTATTAATTTATGAGATTTTTAATCCCACCTTTATTATTTTATAAATGACCCAAAGCAGTGAACATATCAAATACTCCTTCTTCCTCCAGTTTTCCCTACAAGAACAATTCTGACAGGTGGGTTAGGCTGAGAGAGAATGATTGGCTCAAAGTCACCCAACTGGCTTTCATGCCTAAGGCGGGACTAGAACTCACCGTCTCCTGGGGATTGGCCCAAAGTCACCCATATGGCTTTCATGCCTAAAGTGGAGCTAGAACTCACCGTCTCCTGGTGATTGGCCCAAAGTCACCAAGATGGCTTTCATGCCTAAGGAAGGACTAGAACTCAGAGTCACCTGGGGATTGGATCAAAGTCACCCAGCCAGCTTTCATGCCTAAGGCGGGACTAGAACTCACAGTCACCTGGTGATTGGCCCAAAGTCACCAAGATGGCTTTCATGCCTAAGGCGGGACTAGAACTCACCGTCTCTTGGGGATTGGCTCAAAGTCACCCAGCCAGCTTTCATGCCTAAGGCGGGACTAGAACTCACTGTCTCCTGGTGATTGGTCCAAAGTCACCTACCCGGCTGTGATAATAATAACAACAACAACAACAACAACAATAGTAATAAAGTTGGAAGGGACCTTGGAGGTCATCTAGTCCAACCCCACGCTCAGGCAGGAAACCCTATACCATTTCGGACAAATGGCCGTCCAAATGCCTAAGGCGGCACTAGAACTCACCGTCTCCTGGTTTCTAGGTCAGCAACTTCATCACGATACAAAACTGGCCTAAGGAGAAAAAAAGCTGAGATATACAATATGCAAATAAAATAAGTAAAGTTTTAAAAAGAACAATTCATACAGTCACCTGCAAATCACCAGACTCTGAGTAATGAAGTGATGTAAAGGCGCATATGACTCAATCCTTATTTTCTTTAACTCCCAAGGAAGTCAGTGAGATCTTTAAAAAAAAAAAAAACCCTCTGCTTAGAATTGCAGATGTATTGCAGAAGTGTGCCACTTCGCTATAAGCTTAATTGGGTTTGGTTTTAGCTTTATATTTATTTATATTTTGCATATAGAAACCCCCCGTCTCCCTCATACTCTTTAGCTTTGCGTATTAAATCAACATATACCATGTGTGAATGGTGGCTTTCAGCTTCCTGGATTGTACGACCCCGCCTTTGTGGCTTAGAAGTATTCAGCAAATCGTGGTGAAAGATAACTTACCAAAACTGAACTGCTGCTTTATTTAGCCAGAGTTTTTAAATAGATTTGTGGGTCTCCCACCTTTATGATAGTCAGAAAACTGCTAAAAACTTAGTTCTTCTTCCAGGCCTTGGGACAAGTGTGGTTACAAGATCCCCATTAATCATTTTTCCCTTCTTGCAGTCACTCCCATCTCTTTTTCAAATTTGTAAGCTTTCAAGCTGCCCAGAATTGGCGTGGAGGCAGGCAGCCTGGATCCCACCTTTATTATTATTATTATTATTATTATTATTATTATTATTATTATTATTATTATTTTATCTATGTCAATATTTTTTATTAATTTTTTTTCCATCAACATATGTTAATATTTCCAATCAACAAGTTGTCTGGAGTTTGCTAAGCTAATACATGTTCAATTCGTAATCCTTCATTCTTTTCTCTAACCAAGAATAAAATAAATTCCAAATTTGATAGTAGTCCGTATCTTCTTTGTCTTTCAACCTCATAGTTAGTCTGTCCATCTCTGCACATTCCAGTATTTTCATGATTATTTCATCCTCTGATGGCAATCCTTCATTCTTCCAGTATTGTGCAAAAAATATTCTCGCTGCTGTGATAATATGTAGAATTAAATATAATTTCTGCTTATTAGTCTTTTCAGACATAATGCCTAGTAAAAAAAGTTCAGGTTTAAAATCCACTTGTTTGCCCAATATTTTTTCTAACCACATATGTGTGCTTTTCCAATAGGCCTTTGCCTTCCCACATGTGCACCAAATATGATAATACGTGCCTATGTTATGTTTACATTTCCAACATCTATCTGACATATTTTTAAACATTTTTGCTAATCTTACTTCTCCTTTATTATTTTTATAAACCGCTCGTGGCAGTGAATACACCTGCTATGCCTCCCTCCTCTTTATTTTTCCTACCACTATCCTGTGAAATGGGCTTGGCTGACAGAGTGACTGACACGAAGTTGCCCAGCTGATATTCATGCCCATGGCAGTACTAGAACTCACGGTCTCCCAGTGACTCACCCAGTCACCAAGTTGGCCTTCATGCATCAGATTAGAATTCACCCTCTCCTGCTAATTAGCTGAAAATCACCCATCCTAAGGCAGGACTAGAACTCACGGTCTTCCTGTTCCAAACCTGGTGCCTTAAATATTAGACCAAGCAGGCTGGCTGTTAAATAAAATAAGCCACATTTGGCTGATCTTCCTAAGGGTGATAGCTATAGGTGGTTTTAAAAAGCACAGTGGCAAGATTCAAAAACAGCCTGCATATATATCATGGCACCCGCTGATTTATGATGAAAATGGGAGAGTTAACTCTCTTAAACAAAGAGTTAAGAACAACACAATGAAGTTGCAGGTGACTGCAGGGGAGCAAACGTATCTTCAAAAAATGCCGGTGGAGATTCTCAGTCATCCAGGTGGTGATTGCCCCAAAGGTGCTTTTTCAAAAGCCAACTGGAGTTTCTTGTTTTTTTTTTTTCTTGAAAACGTTTCGCCTCTCATCCAAGAAGCTTCTTCGATTCTGACTGAACGGTGGAGAATGGAAGGATTTATATTCCTTCAAGTCACCTGGTGGTTAGCAAATAACTTCAGAGCAGTGAACATTTGAAGACAGCAAAATCCTCATTCTGGACAGAGTGGACCACTGGTTTGAAAGAGGGGTCCAAGAGGCCATCTATGTCAAACTTTTGAATTTATATCACATTATCATTATTACTTTGTACGCTACATTTTAGTATTTGCGTGCAACTTAATACTAATAATAAAGATGGAAGGGATCTTGGAGGTCATCTAGTCCAACCCCCTGCTCAGGCAGGAAACCTCATACCATTTCAGACAAATGGCTGTCCAGTCTCTTCTTAAAAACTTCCAGTGTTGGAGCATTCACCGCTTCTGGAGGCAGGTTGTTCCACTGGTTAATTGTTCTGACTGTCAGGAAGTTTCTCTTTAGTTCCAGGTTGTTTCTCTCCTTGATGAGTTTCCACCCGTTGCTTCTTGTCCTGTCCTCAGGCGCTTTGGAAAATAGCTTGACTCCCTCTTCTTTGGGGCAGCCCCCGAGATATTGGAAAACTGCTATCATGTCCCCCCTCATCCTTCTCTCTCTTTTTTTTTGTAAAAAAAATTTTGTTTTCAATTTTTCATTACATTCATAAAAAATACTTCAGATAAAGAATAAAATAAATTTATACACACAACTTTTAGTATTGCTCACCCATTTCCCCCCAAACCGCATCCACCCTCTAACCTCTTCTCTCACTTCCCTCTTCCTCCCTCTTCTTCCTCACTCTCCCCCTCTCCTCCTTCTCCTCAACCTTCCTACTTACTTCTTCCCTTCCTACTATCTTCTCATCCCACTCCGGATGCAGTCCAGGGGAAATGCCCGATCAATTCCTCTCTCCAAATTAAAACATCAATATTATATACAATAAAACTATTTCTACTTATCTGACCTATTTAACCTCGAACCCATCCTCCCCCCACCCCTGACTTCCCAGAGCCAAGTACAGGGTTATACAAACATATTAAACATAATCTACTTAAATTTACTAATTATACAACAACCAAACTCATACTAACCCTTAACTCTCTTCAAACTTTAACATCATAATTTTATAAAGAAATCCCTTACTCATAAAATAAATGAAACTTTGTAGTTCCATATTTCTTCTGAACATATTCTATCCATCTTCTCCATACAATAACATATCTCTCTTGTGAATGATCCTTTCAATAAGCAGAAATTTTAGCCATTTCTGCTAAATTAGAAACCTTAAATACCCATTCCTTCTCTTCATTAAACTAGACATACCCAATTCCAGCAACCGTTCCTTATATGTTTTAGCCTCCAGTCCTCTAATCATCTTTGTTGCTCTTCTCTGCACTCTTTCTAGAGTCTTCTCATCTTTTTTACCTCATGGTGACCAAAACTGGATGCAGTATTCCAAGCGTGGCCTTACCAAGGCCTTGTAAAGTGGTATTAACACTTCACGTGATCTTGAACAGCCCTCTCTCAATAGAGGGGGAGGGATACACCACCACCTATATATATTCTTTATAATACAGTCCTTTCAGCAGTCCCAAGAAGGCTCCACACCCATTTGCACTTTGATTCAGCTGACCCTGAGGGCACAGATAAACTCCAAGTGGCCTCAACGACTCTCAGAGAGAGTACTAACAACCAGAGGATTGCAAGGAATATAATCCTTCCATCCTCCACCATCCAGTCAGAACCAAAGCAGCTTCTTGGATGAGAAGCGAAACGCCTTCAAGGAAAAACAAATTTTAGTTGTGCTTTGAAAAAAAGCACCTTAGAGACGTCTTCAAGAAAAGGGGAAGTGGAACATGCTATCATATGTGGTGGGAATGCACGTGAGCTCGTGATTTTTGGAACAGGATTAAAGTATGGTTGGAAGAAATATTAGAGCAAGTGGTAGAACCAAAACCAGAACTCTTTCTATTAGGTTTAACTACGCAAAAGCATGAGAAAGGCGTACTTTATTTAATGCTACACTTTTTAATGGCTTCCAGACTGGTTTTTGCTCAAAATTGGAGAAATAAGGGAACTCCAACGGAAGAAGAGATCCTGCATAAAATTTTATCATGTGCTGAGATGGACAGGCTTACAATGATTATGAAAGACAAGACAGAACACGAATACTTCGAAATCTGGGGCAAATTTTACCGTTGGTATGAATTAAGGAGAACTGCTCGGACTTCAAGTTAATGGTAGAATTAAAAGATATATATAACTGTATATATAATTGTATTGTATAGAAGATGAGGCTTATATAGAGGTTAAGAATGATGTATTAAGCTTTTGTACCATGAGAAACAAACTGATAGGAAAATTCATTCTGGAATGTCATGTTTGTCCATTTTTGTTTTAATTGTATTATGAATAAAAATATTAAAAACACAAAAATCATAGAGGACCAAGAACTAAAGGGTTTAAAAATTAAAAAGGAAGAATATAAGGTCCCAGGGGAAAAAAAAAAAAAGAAAAGGGGAAAAGGCCAGCCAACTTTAGGCCAATCAGTCCGGATGTGATAATTACACTGAGACGTAATGTCTCCCACGGCAGGAAACCACCATTTATGTCAATAGCCAACCGCTGCCGAGGGGAGGGGTGTCCACAGGGAGGACACGGAGAGTCAGAGTGATGCAAGCATTGTCGTGGCATCACACCACACACCCCTTTTGGGGCAGGCGTATTGCAGCACGATCTCTGTACGTGTGAGAGAGCCAGAGCTTGCAGTAACTTTGCAAACCTGGTTTCATCATTCTGGCTGAAACCAGGGCACAGCGCCGGCCTCAAGCCTGAGAAAGGCGAAGGAAAATGCTTGTTAAGCCTTGGGAGAGATGGCAGAAAGCAGCCTCACACAGGTGGTCCTCGACTTACGACAGCCCATTTAGTGACCGTTCAAAGGTATCTCGTTGAAAAAAAATGCCTTATGACCATTTTTCACACATGCAACTGTTGCAGCCTCCCCCATGGTCAGGTGATCAAAATTTAGAAGCTTGGCAACCGACTCACATTTATGACGGTTGCAGTGTCCTGGGGGAGGAGTCACGTGATTCCCTTTTGCGACCTTCCGACAAGCAAAATCAATGGGGAAGCCAGATTCCCTTAACCACCGTGCGACTGACTTCACACCTGCACAACAACAATAATAAAGTTGGAAGGGACCTTGGAGGTCATCTAGTCCAACCCCCTGCTCAGGCAGGAAACCCTGTACCAAGGGTAGGCAATCTTGGGTCTTTTATGGCTCGTGAACTTCAACTCCCAGAATTCCTGAGCCAGCTATGCTGAGGGGAAAGAGAGGTTTCCAAGCTGAGCCATGCTGGCTCAGGAATTCTGGGAGTTGAAGTCCACGAGTCATGAGGGGGCCATAGTTCTCCCATGCTGACTCAGGAATTCTGGGGGTTGAAGTCCATGAGTCATGAGGGGACCATATTTCCCCCATGCTGGCTCAGGAATTCTGGCAGTTGAAGTCCACGAGTCATGAGGGGACCATATTTCCCCCATGTTGGCTCAGGAATTCTGGGAGTTGAAGTCCACGAGTCATGAGGGGACCATTGTTCCCCCATGCTAGCTCAGGAATTCTGGGAGTTGAAGTCCACGAGTCATAAAAGAGCCAAGGTTGCCTACCCCTGGCCTAGTTATAGAGCCCCTTTATGTTCAAAGTTCTCTATTCTTTGAACCATATTCAAACAAGGGTTTGCTCATGTAATGAGCAAATCTCTTGAATCGAGACAGACCCATTTCAATACTTTGGTGATGGATTCTTGACCGGGTGGGAGAGAAGGAAATGGAGATGGCGAAGGAAGAACGGATCTATTCATTAATGAGGACCAAAAAAATGAGGCTGCAATACTTCCCATCCAATCTGACCGGTAATCCTTTTCACTTGCTCAGATATGGAGGTCAAGCAGTTGGACAAGAGGGCTTCTGGTCAAAGCTTTGAAGTGATTCTGAAGTCCCCTTCGGACCTGTCCCCCGATAGCCCCGTCCTCTCCTCTCCTCCCAAGAAGAGGGATCTGTCCTTGGAGGAGCTGCAGAAGCGACTGGAAGCTGCTGAAGAGAGAAGGAAGGTAACAGGGGAGGGGGGGATCTACAATTGCTCGTGCGTCGCTGGCTCGTCCTTCCCCAAATTTTATCTTCAAAAAAATCCTCGCGCTTCACACAGCTAAAATCGTGTCCTGAGGAACACCGGGACCCTATGCCTGAAAGATCTCCAAAATACACGGGAAGAAAACTGACCAAGAAATTCCAATCAAAATTATATATATATATGTGTGTGTGTAACTACTGTTTTACCGTTAGGTGCTTAACATGGTTAACAATTCGGACAGAAGAGAATATCTGTAGCCTGTCAGGGCTGAACAGCAGCATCCTTGCTGCTGTCTGAGCTTGACCGTTTGCTTGCAGACATTTCATTCCCGAAGTAGGTTACATCATCAGTGCTAGAAGGGAGTGGGGTTTGAAGAGGAGGGAGGAGGAGGAGGAGGACGACGACAACTATGGGGCCCTTGGTGCTCTCTGAGCTTGGTGGTTTTCTTACAGACATTTCATGACCCAACCAGGTAACATCATCAGTGCTGGAAGAGAGTCGGGTTTGCTTTTTTGTTCATACAGTAGGCAAATAGCTTGCCTTGTCAGTGTTGGTGGGAGGCTTCTCGGTGCTTCCTTGATTAGACTGTTGTTTACGGAGTTGGCTCCCAGAATCCCCCAGCTAGCCAGAGTTGAAATTCATAAGTCTTAAAGTTGCCAGGTTTGGGGACCCCTGTCCGGAAGGAAGGAAGGAAGGAAGGAAGGAAGGAAGGAAGGAAGGAAGGAAGGAAGGAGGGGGGGAGAGAAGGAGGGAGGGAGGGAGGGAAGGAAGGAAGGGAGGGAGGAAGGAAGGAAAAAGGAAGGAAGGAAGGAAGGAAGGAAGGAGGGGGGAGGGAAGGAGGGGGGAGGGAGGAAGGAGGGAGGGAGGGAGGGAGGAGAGGAAGGAAGGAGGAAGGAAGGAGGGGGGGAGGGAGAGAAGGGGGAGGAGGGAGGGAGGGAAGGAGGGAGGGAGGGAGGAAAGAAGGAAGGAAGGAAGGAAGGAAGGAAGGAAGGAAGGAGGGGGGGGGGAGGGAAGGAGGGAGGGAGGGAGGGAAGGAGGGAGGGAGGGAGGAAAGAAGGAAGGAAGGAAGGAAGGAAGGAGGGGGGAGGGAAGGAGGGAGGGAGGGAGAGAGGGAAGGAGGGAGGGAGGGAGGGAGGAAAGAAGGAAGGAAGGAAGGAAGGAAGGAAGGAAGGAGGGGGGGAGGGAAGGAGGGAGGGAGGGAGGGAGGGAGGGAGGAAAGAAGGAAGGAAGGAAGGAAGGAAGGAAGGAAGGAAGGAAGGAAGGAAGGAAGGAAGGAAGGAAGGACCACATCTGGAGTGCTGCAGCCAATTTTGGTCACCGTATCGCAAAAAAGATGTTGAGAGTTTGGAAAGAGTTCAGAGAGGAGCAACTGGGATGATCAAAGGCTTGGAAGCTGAAACATACAAGGAACGGCTGCAGGACTTGGGTTTGGCTAGTCCAGGGATAGGCAACCTTGGCTCTTTTATGACTGGTGGACTTCAACTCCCAGAATTCCTGAGCCAGCATGAGGGAACTATGGCCCCCTCATGACTCGTGGACTTCAACTCCCAGAATTCCTCAGCCAGCATGAGGGAACTATGGCCCCCTCATGACTCGTGGACTTCAACTCCCAGAATTCCTGAGCCAGCCTGGCTCAGCTTGGAAACCTCTCCCTTTCCCCTCAGCGTGGCTGGCTCAGGAATTCTGGGAGTTGAAGTCCACCAGTCATAAAAGAGCCAAGGTGGCCTACCCCTGGCTTAGGACATCATCCCAGTCTGTGGGCTCCTCCAGAGCCGAATTCCCTCTGTTTTATGGGGTTTTTTTTTTGCAGAGCCAGGAAGCTCAAGTCCTGAAGCAGCTGGCAGAGAAGCGGGAGCACGAGAGGGAAGTGTTACACAAGGCCCTGGAAGAGAACAACAACTTCAGCCGGCTGGCTGAGGAGAAACTCAACTACAAGATGGAGCTCAGCAAGGAGATCCGCGAAGCTCACCTAGCCGCCTTGAGGGAGCGACTCCGCGAAAAGGTGAGCCCGGCAACGCTCCCCGCTAACCAGATCCCAACGGGTCACCTCTTTGACCCTAAGCTGCCCCGACTGGGAGGCTGTGGGCAACGCAGAAGAATAACGACAAAAATCACAGCAAGGCATAGCCCAAAGATGCTTTTTCACAAGGCAACTGGACTTCCTTGTTTTCCTTTGAAGATGTTTCACTACTCATCCAAGAAGCTTCTTCAGGTTCTGACTGAATCGTGGAGAATGGAAGGATTTATACTCCTTGCAGACAGTTGGTCATTTGCATCCTTTTAGAGAGTCATTGAGACCACTTGGAGGTTTATCTGTGTCCTCCTAGGGTTACTTGAGTGGTGCAAATGGGCGTGGAGCCCTCTTGGCTGCAGGGCGTTTTCTGCCCTGGGTCCCTTCCTGGTTGAAGATGGGCGCAGGATGATGGGGATGAGTCTGTGTTGTCTGCAACGGATTTCCTGAAAACATGGCAGACTACAGAAACTATTTGCGCCTCAGTTTGTGATGCAGACAACACAGACTCATCCCCATCATCCTGGGCCCGTCTTCAACCGTGAATGAATGAACCTTTATTATCAAAGTACAACAGGTATACAATGAGATTGGCTGAGCCTCCCTGCGTGCCCCCCCCCACAACTCACAGTGACAACAAATCCACCAACTTATTACACCATGTGAGCTAATTGCACAACACGCCGGCCTCACGAGTCTATCATACATAAAGTTATTTCCCGTTCAAGAGCCTGACAGCCCATGGACAGAAACTGTTCTTCAGCCTGTTGGTACAGCTGGCTATACTTCTGTATCTCCTACCCCAGTGGTTCTCAACCTTTTTAATGCCGCGACCCCCAACCGGTCGTAAGTCGAGGACTACTCAACCGGTCGTAAGTCGGGGACTACTCAACTGGTGCAGCACCGTTTGCAGAATGGGACTTTTGGCGGGCTCAGCAGGGCAGAGACAGCCTGGACAATTCCTATTGGCTTTTGAAAGCCAATAGAATTAGACTCCTATTCAAGAGAGTCTATTCTATTGGCTTTCAAAAGCCAATAGAATAAAAGGGAGTAGCACAGCTAAGGAAAAGGGGGAAAAAAATGGCGGGCTGCGTTGTTTGGCGACCCCCGTGAAATGGTCGTTCGACCCCAAATGGAGTCCCGACCCACAAGTTGAGAACCACTGTCCTACCCAATGGTAGGAGAGTAAAGAAGTACCAACCAGGGTGTGAGTCGTCACTGAGAATTTCCCTCACTCTTCCAAGGCAACGGGCCCTGGCGATGTCATCCAGTGGTGTCCAGGGACAGACCACGATGTTTTGTGCTGTGCTCACCACCCTCTGTAATACCTTCCTATCCGCGGCTGTCAAGCCAGCATACCAAACCACGATACAGTGTGAGAGGACGCTTTCTATAGTAGACCGGTAAAAGAAGGTCATGAGTCATGACCCAGGGCAGGAAAACATCTTGTAGCCAAGAAGGCGCCATGCCCATTTGCACCACTCAGGTGACTTTGAGGACACAGGTCAACCTCCAGGTGGCCTCAACGACCCTCTAAAACAGACATGTCAAACACAAGGCCCGGGGGCCGGATGCGGCCCGCAAAGTGGTTTCATGTGGGCTGCGAAGCCATCCTGGAAACAGTGAGGGAACGGCCCCCTCTGCCTTGGCCCTGGCCCAGGCCGGCCGGGAGCCAATGTACAATTTTGTGGTGGCCATCTATGCTGAAACGCATTCGGTCTTAGCTCCACAAGGCCGTCTGGAAACAGCGAGGAACCAACCCCTGCTGTGTTGGCCCCGCCCCCTGGGTGCATGCTGGGGAGGGGTCACCCTTTGTGAGGAATGAAGAAAAGCACCATGCCTTGGCGCTTGCCCTGGTCCCACCCCATTTTGCCAGAGACTCTCAGATCTGTCCCTCTCCTGCCCAGGCTCCCATAGGCACCCTTGACGCGAACGATGTAGAGCTGGCCACACCCACTCTATCCACGCCCACCCAGTAGACCACACCCACCCTGTCCACACACACCTGGTCCCCCAAGGGCAACCGCAGTGCTGATGCGGCCCTCAATGAAATTGAGTTTGATAGCCCTACTCTAAAAGGAGGCAAATGACTAGCTGTCTGCAAGGAGTATAAATCTTTCCATTCCCCACCATCCAGTCAGAGTTGAAGAAGCTTCTTGGATGAGAAGAGAAACATTTTCAAAGAAAAACAAGAAAGTCCAGTTGCCTCGTGAAAAAAGCATCTTTGGGACAATCAGGACCTGGATGGCCGAGAATCTCCATAGACAGCAATGCATAGTGGCCAAGATGGACACCAACTGGACATCAACTGGTGCCATGGGTAGGACACACCTGGTGGAGGAGACTGCCCTGGAATCAAGCAAGACCTTCTCAACCACTAAAGGAGAACATTTGAGCTCAGAGGAGTCTTTGATGCGCTCTCTGAGTTTGGTTGTTTTCTTGCAGACGTCTCATTACCCAACTAGCCTTGATGAGGTTACCTAGTTTGGGAAATGAAACGTCTGCAAGAAAACAACCAAGCTCGGAGAGCACCTCTTCTCAATCGTACCCAATGTGCTTTGTTGAGTTTGAACTTTTAAGATGTGTGGACTTCAACTTCCACGGCTGGCTGGGGGATTCTGGGAGTTGAAGTCCAGGAGTCTTAAAATTGACAACGTTGGGGGAAAAAGTGCTCTAAGAGGCACGTTTCCTGCCCTCTCTTCCTCCCCCAACTTTCCATCCTCAGTCCCATGGGTTTGGGATTACAGATAGTCCTTGACTTACAACGGTTCGCTTAACGACCGTTCAAAGTTACCGAAAAAAGCGACTTCTGACCATTTTTTTTACACTTATGTCTATTGGGGTACCCCCGTGGTCATGTGATCAAAATTCAAATACTTGGTAACTGGCACATATTTATGATGGTTGCAGTATCCGGGGGTCCTGTGACCTTTTCTGACCTTTTGACAAGCAAAGTCAGAGGGGAAGCCAGATTCACTGAACAACCGTGTGACTGACTTAACTGTGGCAAGACAGATCATAAAATGGAGCAAAACTCACTTAACAAATGTCTCACTTAGCAACAAAAATTTTGGGCTCAAAAAGTCAAGGACTAGCTGTAACGGTTGTCAGAATGTGTCAGAGCATGCATGGTCTTATTGCGCTGAGATAACCCAGGAGTAAACAGAGTAAACAGTGATCTATATTAAATGGTGGTTTATCTCACACTATCTACAGTATCATACACCAGGAACAACATACGTGCTAATACAGCAGGATCCAACAAACTGCAGTTAGAGCAAGAAAATGGAAGAGAGAGAACACATCAGCGGAGCTTTCCCCTTTACACAAAGGCTCTTAAAGAGACACAGACCCTGCTGAGTCATTCCCATCATTACATTTTAAATCTTACATTACACAAGCTGGTTAGCTGTTAAATCAATACCTTGACAGGATGGGCTGTCCCACCATTGATGTGCTTATCCTTGCAAATCATTGTTCTGCGTTCACACCCGTTATCACCTCCATGTTTTTCAGGAACTGCACGCAGCTGAAGTGCGCCGAAACAAGGAACAACGGGAAGAGATTTCTGGATAAGTGGCTTTTCTACACAGCTAGCACCTGCTTCCTAATAACTAACCAACCGATCCCAACTTCTTCTCTCTTTTTTTTTGTCTAGACAGGGCAACATCCAGTTTCTCCATTTCTTTTTGTCTCCCCTTTTCCCTGCCCTCCGGCGTACGAGCTCCATGTCTTTCTCCTCTCTGTATCTTTTCACATGGAGGTTCATAGAGACCTCCCAGCCTTGACTATAGCATCCATCCATCAGCTTTTTTTTTCCTTTGGGCTGTTCGGAACAAAAACCGCAAAATCATTTTAACGCACAAGAACGAAGGGAACCCTTGCAAGGTGCTTGGCCGCGTTGCGGAAAGGCTGCTCTCTATGAACCCCCATCGGTCTGATTATTCGACCCCCCCCCTCCTCAGCCAAGCAGAGTGGTAAAAGAGGACTCTTCCCCTGTCAAGGCCTATCTCGCAAACCCCATCTTGAGTTAAGTGCACGCTGCAAACGGAAAAGCAACTTTCAATTTGCAAACAGGGGGAATGGGACGCACACACATCCAAGCCACAAGTGCAGTGGTTTCTTCCTTCTTCTTGCCAGTTTGCCTGGAAGAGAGGGGAAAAAAATTAAAAAAATCTTACGAGGCCTCTGCTTTCTCGGTGAGGAAAGTTAAGACTGAATAGTTGACAGTTTTGATTAAGAGACACCTTTTTGCTTTCTTGATTGGTTTACAGGAAAGGAGAGATTCATTTCAGAGGCTTGAGTTTGAAGAGGATATTAAGAAAAACCCAAAAGAGCAGGCATGATCTGTTGCCCTTGTTGTTGTTGTTGTTAGTTGCAAAGTCGTGTCCGACCCATCGCGACCCCATGGACCACGTTCCTCCAGGCCTTCCTGTCCTCTGCCATCTTCTGGAGTCCATTGAAGCTCATGCCTACTGCTTCAGTGACTCCATCCAGCCACCTCATTCTCTGTCGTCCCCTTCTTCTCTTGCCCTCCATCTTTCCAAGCATCAGGCTCTTCTCCAGTGAGTCCTTCCTTCTCATTAGGTGGCCAAAGTGCTTGAGTTTCCACTTCAGGATCTGGCCTTCTAAAGAGCAGTCGGGGTTGATCTCCTCTAGGACTAACCGTTTGGATCGCCTTGCACTCCAGGGGACTCGCAGGAGTCTTCTCTGTTGCTCTATCCAACCTCAAATCTAATCCGGCTTTTTTAGACGGAACGGTATTTTATTTTGGAACGTTTCTCTCCAGGTTTAAGGACCGCAGGACAGCAGTCTTGGGGTGTGAGGTATGATTGTTGGCATCTCACAACAGGAAAGGGGCTTGGCTAAACAGCGGCTAACCAGATCTTGGCTGAACCTTTGTCTCTGGAGATGTCAAGCTAATTTTTCACTAAAGGTGGAAGGGCCTTGCCAGTTAGCCCTGCCTGTTTTGTCTGGCTGTTCGTTTTGCAGGAGGTCCACTATAGTAAAAGATATTAAGAGTGGGAAAGCTTCAATCTCAGTTATAAATACGGTGGGAGGCTGTCTCAAAGAAAAGCAAAGAAAAAACGGGTGAAGTTGCAGCGTAGCAGAATGCTAAAGCGAGTAAAATGCTTTGATTGCCTCCCTAGCAAAAGTAGAGTATTTTAGGCACGTGTCATTTTGAATCGTTGAAAAGGTCAGCGAGAGCCGATCTTCCCTTTATTTTTTTTTCTAGCCTCATGGCGAGTGTTTAATTTAGCCAAATATCAGAACGAGTGCTGTTTCCAACTGACTTTCGCAGGGCTCATAGCTATGATTTAACCCAAATATAAAGAGGAATGTTTGCACCAGCTCTTCTAGGGAGTTGGGGTTGGGGGGGGGGGCGTGTGAAACGGGAGAGATTTACTATTAAATTTACTCTTGGCAAGTTGGTTTGCGAGTGGGGTTAGCCTGGGCTGTCGAATGGCTGCGAGATTGGAACTTTTTAGGTTAGTGAACTACGATGTAGGAATGGTGATTAATTGAGTTTCTCAACCTTGGGCCCTTTTAAGGCAGCAGGGCTTCAACTCCCAGAATCCCCCATTCAGCATGGCTGGCTGGGGGATTCTGGGAGTTGAAGCCCACTGGTCTTAAAGTGCCCAAGGTTGAGAAACACTAATATAGGTTGATTCACATCACGGTCATTGACGTTATCGCCATCAACCGGGGGATAGAAGATCGTGTGAACACTTGTCCTGGATCAGGCCAGGGTCTTATCTTAGTCCAGCATTATCTTTCGTCCAGATGTTCACAAGGAGGTAACAATAATAATAATAAAGTTGGAAGGTCATCTAGTCCAACCCCCTGCTCAGGCAGGAAACCCTATACCATTTCGGGCAAATGGCTGTCCAGTCTCTTCTTTAAAATTTCCAGTGTTGGAGCATTCACCGCTTCTGGAGGCAGGTTATTCCACTGGTTAATTGTTCTGACTGTCAGGAAGTTTCTCCTTAGTTGCAGTTTGCTTCTCTCCTTGATTGGTTTCCATGTGTTGCTTCTTGTCCTGCCTTCAGGCGCTTTGGAGAATAGCTTGACTCCCTCTTCTTTGGGGCAGCCCCTGAGATACTGGAAGACTGCTATCATGTCTCTCCTCGTCCTTCTCTTCATTAAACTAGACATACCTAATGTCTAGTTTAGAAACTAGACTGAAACTCTCCCCTCATTGGCTCTTTTGCGATTGGTATATGAAGGCAGGTTACCTCTAACTGGGAGATAACATAATCTTCAAAACCAGAGGTTGTGGATGCTCCATCACTGGAGGTTTTTAGGAACAGACTGGATAGCCATTTGTCTGAATTGGTATAGGGTCTCTTGTCTGAGCAAGGGGTTGGACTAGAAGACCTCCAAGGTCCCTTCCCGCTCTGTAATTCTGTACCTCTTAATAGACTAGTCCTCCATTGATTTTTGCCATTCTCTTTCAAAGCCATCCAGGTTAGAGGCCACGCCCATATCTTTTCCTAAGGAGTTTAAGAGATTCATTAGGCACTGAGGTTGGCGAAAGGCAGCTTACATTTCCCCTTTTGTTTAAGTAGTTCAAAGTAATTCCTACTGAACTCAAATATTATTTCATTTGATTGGGTTTAATATGTAATATTATAGGGGCCTTCTGTGTTTGTAGGTTGCAGTATTCTGATTTGAAGTCTACAGATCAGGTTTTGTTTAATAAGCCAAATGATTTAGGGAAGTTAGGAACATATCTGCAAAAGTGTCATCTTTCAGTGACATAGAAAGAAAGAAAGAAAGAAAGAAAGAAAGAAAGGAAGGAAGGAAGGAAGGAAGGAAGGAAGGAAGGAAGGAAGGAAGGAAGGAAGGAAGGAAGGAATTCTACAGAAAAATTATAATTCCCTACTGTCATTAGTCATAAAGGAAAAACAAAATAAAATGTAATTCCCAGGCATACTTTCTTAGCATTTAAAAAAAGAAAGAAAGACAGAAAGAAAAAAAGAAAGAAAGAAAGAAAGAGAAAGAAAGAAATTCTAAGAAAAATTGTAATTTCCTGCTGTCATTAGTCATAAAGGAAAAACAAAACAAAATGTAATTCCCATGCATATTTTCTTAGCATTTAAAGAAAGAAAGAAAGAAAGAAAGACAGACAGACAGAAAGAAAGAAAGAAATTCTAAGAAAAATTATAATTCTCTACTATCATTAGTCATAAAGGAAAAACAAAACAAAATATAATTCCCAGGCATACTTTCTTAGCATTTGTAGAAAGAAAGAAAGAAAGAAAGAAAGAAAGAAAGAAAGAAAGAAAGAAAGAAAGAAAGAAAGAAAGAAAGAAAGAAGGAAATTCTAAGAAAAATTATAATTCCCTACTGTCATTAGTCACAAAGGAAAAATAAAACAATATGTAATTCCCATGCATACTTTCTTAGCATTTGTAGAAAGAAAGAAAGAAAGAAGGAAAGAAAGAAAGAAAGAAAGAAAGAAAGAAAGAAAGAAAAGATTTCTAAACAACTCTATAATTCTCATATCTTCTTTTTAGCATGGAAGGAAGGAAGGAACGAAGGAATTCTACAGAAAAATTGTATTTCCCTACTGTCATTAGTCATAAAGGAAAAATAAAACAAAATGTAATTCCCATGCATACTTTCTTAGCATTTGAAGAAAGAAAGAAAGAAAGAAAGAAAGAAAGAAAGAAAGAAAGAAGACTTTGAAACAACTCTATAATTCTCATATCTTCTTTTTTAGCATAGAAGGAAGGAAGGAAGGAAGGAAGGAAGGAAGGAAGACTTCTACAGAAAAATTATACTTCCCTACTATCATTAGTCGTAAAGGAAAAATAAAACAAAATGTAATTTCCATGCATGCTTTCTTAGCATTAGTCAAAAGAGACTTCTAAACAAAAACTATAATTCTCATGCCTAATTTCTTAGCATTAAAAAGAAAGAAAGAAAGAAGGAAAGAAAGAAAGAGACCTAAACTAAAACTATAATTCTCACATCTACTTTCTTATCATTAGTGGAAAGTAAGTAAAGGAAGAAAGGAAAAAGGGAAAAGACTTCTAAACAAAAACTGTAATTCTCATGCCTTCTTTCTTAGCAAAAAAAGAAAAACAGAAAGAGAAAGAAACTCTACAGAAAAATTGTAATTTCCTACTGTCATTAGTCATAAAGAACTAAGGAGAAACTTCCTGACAGTGAGAACAATTAATCAGTGGAACAGCTTGCCTCCAGAAGCAGTAAATGCTCCAACACTGGAAGTTTTTAAGAAGAGACTGGACAGTCATTTGTCCGAAATGGTGTAGGGTTTCCTGCCTGAGCAGGGGGTTGGACTAGATGACCTCCAATGTCCCTTCCAACTTTACTATTATTATTATTATTATAAAGGAAAAACAAAACAAAATGTAATTCCCAGGCATACCTTCTTAGCATTTGTAGAAAGAAAGAAAGAAAGAAAGAAAGAAAGAAAGAAAGAAAGAAAGAAAGACAGACAGACTTCTAAACAACGCTATAATTCTCATATCTTCTTTTTTAGCATAGAAGGAAGGAAGGAAGGAAGGAAGGAAGGAAGGAAGGAATGAAGGAAGGAAGGAAGGAAGGAAGGAAGGAAGGAAGGAAGACTTCTACAGCAAAATTATACTTCCCTACTATCATTAGTCATAAAGGAAAAATAAAACAAAATGTAATTTCCATGCATGCTTTCTTAGCATTAGTCAAAAGAGACTTCTAAACAAAAAAAGAAGGAAGGAAAGAAAGAAAGAGACTTAAACTAAAACTATAATTCTCACATCTACTTTCTTAGCATTAGTGGAAAGTAAGAAAAAGAAAGAAAGAAAAAGACTACTAAACAAAAACTGTAATTCTCATGCATACTTTCTTACCAAAGAAAGAAAAAGAGAAAGAGAAAGAAAGAAAGACAGAAAGACAGAAAGAAAGAAAGAAAGAAAGAAAGAAAGAAAGAAAGAAAGAAAGAAAGAAAGAAAGAAAGAAAATAAGTTTATGGCATAAGTCCCTTGAACAGAAGAGGCCAATATAGGTTTTGATATCGCTGTGCTAAACTGGGATATTGGTTAGACTTACTTAAGCTGGTGACATTTTGTTTCCCACCCCAAATTTCTGCAATTTGTGCTTTCCTTCCTTGTAAATAACCTATGCAAACCCAACATTAGAGTTTTTGGTCTTGAGACTCTGTATAAAGCAAATGATATCAACGCAGCATTAAAATCCCACTTTTGAGGACTCTTGAGGTGGGGTTCAAATTGTCCCCGCTAGTTTTGCCTACCACTGTCTGAAATATTAGGGTAGCGAGAGGTCTCCAAACTTGGCAACTTTTAAGGTTTGTGGACTTCAACTTCCAGAATTCCTCAGCCAGCCAGGTCGATGAATTGCACATCTTCCTGTACTCTTTTTGCAGTTTTCCCAGGGAAAAGGCGGGAGGAAAAATCCATATTTTCCAAGCCACGGACAGATTCTTGGAGAGCCACCCACCTATACATCTTATAGGCTTTCAATTGCATAAAATAATGTTATTTGAGCTTTGGCTGCTGACAACTCAAAGGGATTCCCAAAAATCCAAAATTAGTACGTAAGGGGATTTAATCTAGCAAGTTGGAGGCCAACTTAGCTGATGTCTGGAACCCTCCAGAAATAAAAGGAAAGCTATGCTCAAATCCTCAAGCAGAACAATCCTTTACTTTCTTTCCACTTTCAAATCTGTGGATTAAAAAGGTGGCTATCCTTTTCATTTTTTAATCTGAGAATGAGATCAAGAAAAATCCTAGACTTGGCTTCGTTTTTGAGGCAGACCTCGACAATGAAAAATAATAATAATAATAATAAAGGGGGGGCTTCTTTGTATCTTTTATTAAATGGAGTCCAAGGCAGGATAAGCCCCAGAAAAAAAAAATCATCTGAAGATTTACTTCCTGCAAGATCCAACAGGATTCCCCTGCGTCACCAAATGGTCCCCAATTCCTTCATATATTGCTGTGAAGGCTGGCTGATCTTTCTTTTGTTGTTGATTGAGTTCTAAAAATGATCGGGGACCCAATACCAGCAACTCTCAGGGCAAAATACACTAAATGTAGCTGAAATGTTATTTTTTTTTTAAACAAGCTAATTAACAGCCAAGGAACCACAGAGGTGTCAACACTATACTGCCTGTCTGAAAGGCTGTGCTTAACACTCCTGTGACTGTCACTTCCAAGTACTGTAGCAGGGTCAATAAAGATTTTGCATTCCTCTCCCCTAATAAACTGATCCCGATTGATAACATAGGAAACAAATGCCAAAGTATCACTGATCCACTATGACAGTGGTTCTCAACCTGTGGGTCGGGATCCCATTTGGGGTCGAACGACCATTTCACCGGGGTCGCCAAACAACGCAGTCCACCATTTTTTTCCCCTTGTCCTTAGCTGTGCTACTCCCTTTTATTCTATTGGCTTTTGAAAGCCAATAGAATAGACTCTCTTGAATAGAGTCTAATTCTATTGGCTTTCAAAAGCCAATAGGAATTGTCCAGGCTGTCTCTGCCCTGCTGAGCCCGCCAAAGTCCCATTCTGCAAACGGTGCTGCACCAGTTGAGTAGTCCTCGACTTACGACCGGTTGAGTAGTCCTCGACTTACGACCGGTTGGGGGTCGCGGCATTAAAAAGGTTGAGAACCACTGCACTATGACCATGTTTCGCTTATATTGGCCGTAGATGTGAAAACAGTCAAAGTATCTGCCTGCCTGCCTGCCTGCTTCCCTATCCCATCTATCTATCTATCTATCTATCTATCTATCTATCTATCTATCTATCTATCTATCTATCTATCTATCTATCTCATACCTGCTCCAGCTAGGCCCCTAAGAAAGAAATATGAGTGAAGTGATAGGTTCTTTTTACTAAGGATTAGTGGTTGGAAAAAAAGCAAGGCTAGAACTGAAGTTCCCACGCAAAGCATTCCAGAACACTCTCTCTCTCTCTCCCTACCTACCCACCCACCCTTCTACCTATCTACCCACCTACCTACCTACCCTCCTTCCCTCCCATCATCTATCTATCTATCTATCTATCTATCTATCTATCTATCTATCTATCTATCTATCTATCTATCTAATCTTGTTATCTATCTAGTTATCTATCTGTCTGTCTGTCTGTCTATCTATCTATCTATCTATCTATCTATCTATCTATCTATCTATCTATCTATCTATCTATCTATCTATCTATCTATCTATCTATCTATCTATCTATCTATCTATCTATCTATCTATCTATCTACCTACCCACTCCTGAGCAAGCATTTCATCTTGGTATCCAAAGAAAAGGGCCATTAGGCTGCAAAGAATTTTTAGTTAACTTAGAAAAAAAGAGAGAGCCACGGATGGCCTCATCAGGGTCAATATGCCTGGGCACAGGACAGAAGAACCGAGTTGAAAGGTTCTAGCTAATCAATCAGTTATAAAGAACAATCATGGGTGAAAGCACCGGCCTAGAACACGAGAATTGTCTTATCCATATTTGATAGATTTAAAATAGAGTTAAATAAATTCTAAGGGGAAAATAGAATTGCCTGTAAGAGTCGTCACCCTTGTTACCCAATGGGATCTGTGAAAATGTCTGCAGGATGATGACGATGATGATAGTCTTAGTTGCTGTGGTGCTGTGAGCTTGTGTGGTGTGTAATTCAGACTTGCTGTAAATTTAGGTTTTAGTATTCTGAGTCTCACAATTGATGTTTTTATTTCTGTCTTGGCAACAATCAGAAATGCACTTAACTCCGGCGTGCAAGCAAAACAGTGCAGTGTTCCTGCCCGCAGCTATCCATTTGAGGTCAGGAGAGTGGTAAATTGGGCAGAAAACTGGAAGTTAGCTTTGAAGTAAGAGAGAACCGAACTGAGTATCGCTGCAGAAGGATGAAAAAGCGGCTTAGTTAATATTTTAAGGAATGTTCATTTAATTTGAACCCACAATTGGACATTTTGGTAGATGTTTGAATTGTGCTGGCAGACCCTCCTTCCGAAGTAAGAAAAGACCCAGCCTTGATACCACACTGCTAACGTTGGTTGATTTTAGTGGTAATTCATTTTTAACGTTGACTTTCTACATCTTAGCATGTTGCACAAATTTATTTATTTATTAGAGAATTTACATGGCCTCCTGCTCACTTTCAGTGACTCTAGGGGGCGTATAAAAAAAAACCCAACGCAGACTGAGTAGGGCTACCAGCTCTGATGGTCAAAAATACAGCAAATCACTAAATAATAGCAAAAAGTCTCTTTTGCAAATTACCTGGGTTTTTGCAACCCTGGTTTATGGTTCCATGCACTGTAAAAATTCAGAAAATTGGCTACTTCGGTAAACTGTGTTCTAAACCCCCCCCCCATTTTGCTTAATGGTTATGTTCACACTTATCTTTTTTTGTGCCACAATTGCTGGCTGCCAGCCAGAAAGGGACCTGGATGCCTGCCAGAGTCCAGCGATAGGCAAAATGTTTTGAGTCTTTTAACTAATATCTTAAGGCAACAGGTGTGGTGCACAGCTTTAGCAAAGGTCGACGGCAGGAATTCAATAAGCAAGTGACAAATCCAGAGAGAAAAGACAGAAGACACACAGTAAGGTGGAATCCACAGCAAGAGTTATCTCAACAAGTTGGATTTTCAGCCTCTGCACTCAGAGAGCAAGGCCGATATATCTGCCCTGCAGAATAGGTGCTCCAACACTGGAGATTTTGGGACGTTTATCTGACATGGTATAGGGTTTCCTGCTTGAGCAGAGGGCTGGACTAGAAGACCTGCCAGGTCCCTTCCAACTCTTGTCATTCTGTTATTCTCCACCCCATGCAGAGCTGTGGCATGGACTCTTCCGTTTTCTTCTTTCTTGGCATGTTTCTCAGATCTAAGGGGTTTTATCACGTGTCTCTGCTTAGGAGTGGCTGGTTGGACTTGAGGGTCGTGAGAAGGGGGTCAGTGAGGGCAGGCAAGGGGTCCTGTGGGCTTGCTGGATCTGCTTTGTGGGTCTGAGGGGGGGGGGGCGTCACCAATAGTGGAATTGCCCACACCAGGTCTATGGTCTCTAGATGTCCCGCCTTCATTTCATCCCCATCTTTATTAAGGGCCCAGTAGCTCAGAACATTAACCAGACAGCTACAAATCTAGCAGCTGTGTTTGCACAATGTTTGGAGCCTGCTTGCGTGTTTGTGCGACGCCCATTGAGCGTGTTGCGCAAACTCATCTCCTTTCGTGAGCAAGGGCGTTTAGCGTACTTTGCAATCCCAGAAAATGAATTCAGTACGATAAAAGTTTTTACTCCACCTAAACTCCTGCTAGATTTTTTTAGTGTTTCTCATCCTTGACAATTTTAAGGCACGTGGACTTCAACTCCCAGAATTCCACAGCCAGCATTGCTGAAGTTGAAGTCCACATGCCTTAAAATTGTCAAGGTTGAGAAACACTGCTAGAAAGACAGGGGAGCTAATCCAGTTCCTAGGACATCAGGGCAAGGTGCCATTTTAATGACAACAGCCAGCTCTCTGGGAGCTTTCTCGACTTCCTAAGTCCGCACGATATCTGGAGGCATTGATGTGCAAAATTATGGGAAGATGTACAGCCCGGTTTATTGTATGGCTCTTCCAAGGAATGTCTTGTAGATGGTTCTGAGTGTAGGATTACAGGCTAAAGGGGTTGATTTGTACGTCCCCATTTTTGCTATTCAATAGCTGTTCACGGAAGGAATTGGCCCAACTGAAAAAATACACTGCGATGTCATGGATGTGTTTGTGCTGCTAGAGCTAATGTGGTGCACACCGAAGGCACAATATTGTGTTTCAGTCGAATCGGAAACGAAGATGGGTGGAACAGCCTTTAGCATCCTTCTCCTACTTAATCACTTTGAAAGACGCTGGATTGAACCAGTATGTCTCAATCTTGGCAACTTTAAAGACGAGTGGACTTCAACTCCCAGAATTCCGGAGTTGAAGTCTGTAGGTCTTCAAGTCGCCAAAGCTGAGAAATCACTCTCAATGTCTCTGCCCACTGGGCTTCCTTGTGAAAAATATCTGATGGCTGTGAGGTTGCAGAAGGCTCTCTTTGACCAATGAATTCTGCCATATGGTGTTTAGGTATAGACTGCAGGGGTTCTCAACCTTGGCAACTTTAAGACTTGTGGACTTCAACTCCCAGAATTCCTCAGCCAGCAAAGCTGGCTGAGGAATTCTGGAAATTGAAGTCCACAAGTCTTAAAGTTGCCAAGGTTGAGAACCCCTGGTATAGGGAATGATACTTATTCATTCCTCTTAATTTCCGCGAACTTCTAAAATAGAAAGGGTATGCCAGGGAAAATTAGCTGAAAACACACTGAAGTTGTCGAGTAAATTGGATGGACTTTTTATCGGATGGACTTTTTCATCAGTCACTGGAATCCCTCGTATAAATAGAATTATGTCAGGAGAATAGCTGAGGACAATAGAAAGGTCCAGAATTAAAGTCTAGGATCAATGTGAGTGTGTGTTGAAGAAAATAAGCTTTTCTATGATTGGGTATAATGGGTGCAAATAAGCACGGATTAAGCATTGGAAAAGACGCAAAGGAAAAATCTACTTGAAATAATGATTTAAAAAAAAAAAAAATCCGAATACACAAACACAGTTAAATTTACACCAGTGCAATTCCATCCAAAGTCTATTACTATATTTGCTGCATTATACACTAATGTAGTGTATAAAGTTCACACTAATGACCGTTTTATATTAATAACCAATTCATCTTCCCAAGATTTGTCTGGAACACAGTAGCAGACCCTTTACTTTGGAAGATGATGTACAAAATCATTACAACCAATAGCTAAAAAAAACCCAAATATTTGCTAAAATTACTTTATGTGCAAGAGAGAAAGTTAAGAAGGCCTAGAGGAACTAAAAACTTGGGGAGCTGTTCTGCCTCTGTATCTTAATTATGGAAAACTGTCCTTTGTTTGGAAGTTAGAACTTGGAACATAAGTTGTAACATTTTGGCGTTATTAAGCCCAAAAGAAGACAACAATACTCTTGTGCTAATGGACTACATCTCGCACCTGATTTTAAGAAATCAACGAATCTGCCTGAAACCAGCTTGTCAAATCTTAAGTCCTCTGATTCAAATGTATGTCGGTGCCTATAGTGACTTGGTTTTCCTTTGGGATGGTGTTCTATTGCTGCATTGTGAAACAAACCCTAGTGTTAAGAATAAATGTGATGTCCTCTTTTGGTGCCCAGTAGCTATTCTCTGAGCAGCGCGTGATGGTGGTTCTTGCTGCTGCTCGGCTAATATCTTCCATGAACTGTAGATATTGCCTTGGTTGCCTGATGCTACTGGTGCCATTGCCTCCGAAGACTACGTAGCAAGGCGTGGTTACGTACCTGCGCGTATTAAGAGTCGCCAACTGTGACATCATCATCCAAGCGCATGTAGCAAAAGCCACACGCACGTACACAAAACCCCTGGGTGGCTGAGGCAAGGAAGGCGGTGCTTATGGTGCTACTGATGATATTCCACAGCAGGGTTTGTATTGAGAACCAGTTCTAGCCTACGTGGACTGATTTAATGGCCCCAATTGGGCTTCTACAAACTGTAACTGACAAAAAGAGAGCAATGATGGTTGAATGCCAGAGAGAAGAACGATATCTGGAAAAAGAAAGAAAAGGATGCTGGAATGTATATTCCATCAGGCAGATGGACCAGCTCTCACCACAACCTTCTTCTGTGAAGGCCACGATCCCCGGAGGTATCTAGTCAGAACTGAAGAGAGGAAGAAAAACTTGTCAAAATGTCAGCAGCCAAAGCGTGCCACTCCTTCCTATGTAAAAACCGGACTCTTTTTCTCTCTTACAGGTGTATTCTAAATGTTCTACGATGAGTACCACGATTTAAAGTTATATTACGTATCATTGTTAACAAGGGTTTCTCCTAGCAGCACAAGCTCAGCTTACAGGAAGTTTTCAAACAAAAAAATTAAACCCACCTGTGCAGCAAGCAAACTTAACTTTTCTGGTATTTTATCTTCCCCGGGACCGACCTCCTCTTTATTCCTGAAGTCTACTAGTTAAATGTGATTGGCCTTGCATAAAAGTCACTTCTTTAGGGTGCAGTGTGTGCTGTTTTCTTTTTTTTTTTGGTCTTTCCAAAGACGCGGAAAAGTAAGGAAGTGTAAAACGGTGTCATGAATGGATTTTATTTTTTCCATACTTGAGCCTAATCCGATTCCTTTTAATTTCACCTGCATTTCATCGTCAACTTGAGGTTGTTGTTGTGCAAAAAAAAAAAAAAAAGTGATTAATGAGGAAAAACAAGAAATAAAACTTGGTATGAAACCACAGCTCACCGTTTTTATTTATCTGTTGGCTTTTTAAGCACGGTTTGTTTTCAAGTGGTTTTCTGGAATAACCAAAAAAACCAAACAAAACAAAACCTCACCTACTGATATAACCTGGGAAAAGCGTGAAAGAACTTTTATTTCTTCATGGATTTGCTCTGTTTATAAACATTCCCCCAAAGTATTATTTTTAATAACCTGATACACAGAAGACACCCAATTAGATTGGGCGACCATATACTGCAGGGGTCTTCAAACTGGGCCCTTTTATGACTTGTGGACTTCGACTCCCAGAATTCCTCAGCCAGGCACGCATGCCTGGCTGAGGAATTCTGGGAGTCGAAGTCCACAAGTCATAAAAGGGCCAAGTTTGAAGACCCCTGTCTTAAATCTAACAAACAAAATGGAGGCTGGCTGAGGAATTCTGGGAGTCGAAGTCCACAAGTCATAAAAGCGCCAGGTTTGAAGACCCCTGATATACTGGATAATGCAACCAGTTCAGATGAAGGAGAGCAGTGTTTCTCAACCTTGGCCACACTCTCTCTTCCCATCCCAGAAGCTTCTTCAGCTCAGTCAGAACGGAAGAAGCTTCTTGGGCGAGAGGCGAAACATCTTCAAGGAGAAACAACGAGGAAGTCCAGTTGCTTTTTGGAAAAGGCACCTTTGGGACAATAGGATGGGATGTCTTGGTCGGAGAAGGCAGGATAGGCACCTGGATCTGTCCAAGGGGAGGAGGGAGAAAAAGGCTGAGGAAGAGGAGGTCCATACTCCTGGAAGAAATTCCAGCCTCAGTTGTGGTTTTAAGTCGAGAACTGCCTGCAGTGAAATGTCTGCAAGAAAACCACCAAGCTCAGAGACCCCACTAAGGACCCCACCGTTCAACCCCAAGTTACAATTACTCTCTTCTACCAAATCCCTAGAATTTCTGGTTGGGGGCCACGCTTACTGAGACTGTGGTATCAGTACAGTACAGCATCAGGTTATTTGCTAGGCTGCATTAACAGAGGAATAAAATCAAGATCACGTGGAGTATTAATACCACTCTACAATACCTTAGTAAGGCCACACTTGGAATACGGCATCCAGTTTTGGTCACCACGATGTAAAAAAGATGTTGAGACTCTAGAGCAGTGGTTCTCAACCTGTGGGTTGGGACCCCATTTGGGGTCGAGCGACCATTTCACGGGGGTCGCCAAACAACGCAGTCCGCCATTTTTCCCCCCCTTTTCCTTAGCTGTGCTACTCCCTTTTATTCTATTGGCTTTTGAAAGCCAATAGAATAGACTCTCTTGAATAGAGTCTAATTCTATTGGCTTTCAAAAGCCAATAGGAATTGTCCAGGCTGTCTCTGCCCTGCTGAGCCCGCCAAAAGTCCCATTCTGCAAACGGTGCTGCAAGTTGTCTGCAGCGAAGGCGAGCTGTCTGGAAGTTTCCACCCCTCCCTGCTGAGCAACTACTAAAAATGTAAGTAAAAGAGGGCCAGGGGAAGGAGGTGGGAGGCCAGCGGGCGCAGGGAGGGTTGCTGGCGCGCGTGGGGCCCGGTGGGTGCCTTACCTCCCTTGGGTTGGGCCAGCTGGTGGCCCAGCCGGTGGTCGGCCTGCTCCGTCTCTGCCGCTTGCCAGCTGCGCCTCGGCCGGCGCAGGGGGAGGCACCACGCATGTGCGGCGCTGCCAGGCAGGGAAAGTCCTCGACGTACGACCGGTTGGATAGTCCTCGACTTACGACCGGTTTAGTCCTCGACTTACGATCGGTTGGGGTCGCAGTATTAAAAAGGTTGAGAACCACTGCTCTAGAAAGAGTACAGAGAAGAGCAACAAAGATGATTAGGGGATTGGAGGCTAAAGCATATAAGGAACGGCTGCTGGAATTGGGTAGGTCTAGTTTAACGAAGAGAAGGATGAGGGGGGACAGGATTGCAGACTTCCAGTATCTCAGGGGCTGCCCCAAAGAAGAGGGAGTCAAGCTATTCTCCAAAGCGCCTGAAGGCCAGACAAGAAGCAACGGATGGAAACTGATCGAGGAGAGAAGCAACCTGAACTAAGGAGAAACTTCCTGACAGTTAGAACAATTAACCAGTGGAACAACCTGCCTCCCGAAGCAGTGAACGCTCCAACACTGGAAGTTTTTAAGAAGAAACTGGACAGCAGGGGGTTGGACTTGATGACCTCCAAGGTCCCTTCCAACTACTACTACTTACTACTACTACTACTACTACCACTACTATTACTACTACTACATATTATTATCATTATTATTATTATTATTATTATTATTATTATTATTATTTTAGCATGCCCATTGCCAATAAAATCTAATTCCTCAAGAGAAGTATAAAGTAAGACGCGATGCAATGCTGCAGAGTCCACATTATAAGCTCCAATCACAAACTGTCATTTTAGGAAGCGAGAGCAAGCTGAAAAGCAACGATTGACATATATGTGGAGACATGATTCATTCTTAGACTGAAAAAGAAAAACTCAGCAGAAAGTGTGGTTGTTCCATGTACATAATGAAAAAAAAAAAAAAGGAACTGGAGCCCTTAGGGTGCTTTTGCAAATGTCTCGGTAAGAATAAAAGGAGAAGTAAATAAAAACGAGGCCGTGCGGGGAGCTCATTATAGATGGCCTGGACAGGCAGCCGAGAGAAATGAGGCTTTGGGGCTTTAAATGACCAGTCTTTCAAAAGAGACCTGGAACAGCAGTAATATGGCATTTTGGTAATCCCAACATCAGCTGAGCATTTACCTTTGCCAAGCGGTTCAGCAAATGTTTGTCCTCTGTTGTTGAAAAATTTCAGAAAGTAAAAGAAAGAACAAGGGGAATTGCTATCCTGGGCCAAATTCCTACCCCCAGGTAACGGTTGAAGGAATGGAGGAGAATAGCATCTCGGAAGAAAATGGTCAGGATAAGCTGTTGGCCCAGAAAGCAGGTGACAATGAGATGGTGGCTTGCTTCTAACTCAATGGTTCTCAACCTTTTTAATGCCGCGACCCCCAACCGGTCGTAAGTCGAGGACTACTCAACCGGTCGTAAGTCGAGGACTACTCAACTGGTGCAGCACCGTTTGCAGAATGGGACTTTTGGCGGGCTCAGCAGGGCAGAGACAGCCTGGACAATTCCTATTGGCTTTTGAAAGCCAATAGAATTAGACTCTATTCAAGAGAGTCTATTCTATTGGCTTTCAAAAGCCAATAGAATAAAAGGGAGTAGCACAGCTAAGGAAAAGGGGAAAAAAATGGCGCACTGCGTTGTTTGGCGACCCCCGTGAAATGGTCGTTCGACCCCAAATGGGGTCCCGACCCACAGGTTGAGAACCACTGCTCTAACTGTTATCACCGATATGGGCATATCCAGACAGGCCATCCTGCTCTTTTTCTTCTATCGCTAACCGGCAGCCACCACCCTCAATTCTCTCCTTTTCCAGTATTTGCCTCCTCAGTTATAACCAGACCCCACATTCCTTCCCAATTCCTTTTAAAATTGTAATTTAGGATATTGATCAAAATATGAGGGTCATAGCTTCTGCCAACCCTCGTCAATTCCTCCACTAACATCAGCTGCCCGCAAGTCAACATACCATTGCAAAACAGCCCAGAAAAAAAAGAATGGATTTTCAGAACAATGAAGTTTCCAAAGAAAAAAGTTATTCCGAATATTCAGGCTTCTCATATTTTACAAAGGCCCTGTTTAACAAAACTCAGCCTATTTCACCTTCCAGCCTAATGTTCCAAGAGCTTTTTTTCTTCTAATGTTGTACTAAACCCCTAAAAATAAAGCAAGGAAAAGGGGAGGGTAAAAGCAGAGACAGTCATCTGACAGGAAGATATTGGGGGGGAGGGGGGGGGAAGATTAGCAGAGTTTCTAGTGCAGGGGTCTTCAAACTTGCCCCTTTTTGTGATTTGAAGACTTCAACTCCCAGAATTCCTCAGCCAGCATGCTGGGAATTGAAGTCCACAAGTCATAAAAGGGCCAAGTTTGAAGAGCCCTATTCCTGTGGTGGCGAACCTAAGGCACAGGTGCCACAGGCGGCACTTGGAGCCCTCTCTGTGGGCACCCGTGCCGTTGCCCCAGCCTTGCCTCCCCCTGTGACCCCCTCTTCACTAGTAGCCCCCCTGGAGGAGAGTCACCCCTGAGCGTGGCCCATGTGGAGCAGTGCAGCCAAGGACATGGCAGCCAGGCAGTGTAGACAAGACTCTGCCTTCATGCCCCATCGTGCACAGTTGATGCTGCGGTGCGTGGGCAGAGGGTGTGGCTGCCATGGCGCTGCTGGGCGATCTGCGGCGGGCCCTGGAGGTGATGAGTGGCCCTGCGGGCAGGTGGGGTAGAGACGAAGTGGGGGCGGAGCGGGGGTGGGGCCAGTTTTTGGGCACTCAGTCTCTAAAAGGTTCACCATCACTGCCCTATTCTTTCTAGTCGCAGGGGTAGGCAACCTTGGCTCTTTTATGACTTGTGGACTTCAACTCCCAGAATTCCTCAGCCAGCATGCTGGGAATTGAAACCCACAAGTCATAAAAGGGCCAAGTTTGAAGAGCCCTATTCTATCTAGTGCAGGGGGAGGCAACCTTGGCTTTTATGACTCGTGGATTTCAACTCCCAGGATTCCTGAGCCCGTTTGGCTGGCTCAGGAATTCTGGGAGTTGAAGTCCACAAGCCGTAAAAGAGCTGGGGAAAAATTAGAAACAACCTTGATCTGTAAATCTGATATTTCTCAGCAGCCAATTATTTTGACAAAGTGGGGAAAATGGTAACATTTCAGAGGGAAAGCCACATACTGGCACCCAAGAACAAAAATACATATTTCTGTTCCCTTCAGTTGCCACAGAACCTGGAGGGATCTGAAGAACTGGACATTAGCAAAATGAATGATAGCTTTGAGGGTATGTATGCGAAACTTTAAAGCAGCAGAATGTCTCAAGATTCACAGATGGGAGGCCACGAAATCGACCCCCTCCCCATACAGCAAAGACACGGACCCTCCACAACAGAGGCACTAGCAATGTCAGACACCCAGAGCTCCTGGGAAAACAGAACTGATTCTGCTTTGTTTTTTTGACAAACTGAAAGATCTTCTAACAGTCTCCTACAGATGGAGACACCGGGTGCAAAAAAAAAAAAAAAACGCAATAAATATGTCCGTCAATATTTGTCAGATTTACATCTTGCCTTTCCTTCAGGTCAACATCTATAGTGCGGCTGCCACTTTGCATTTTTCTACACAATTACCAGTCTGTGTGCAGTCGGCTGAGAGAGGGAAATTGATCCAGAGCAACTTGGGGGGATAAGTCAGTGGATGAGGGGGGTCTCTTCAATACCGGCCCCACATCTTCTCGGTCACCAAACACCGGCCTTCTATTAAGCAAACCTTCTGTGATGGTATTTGAGCTGGTTGTTTTGTAAGCTAATTTCAGCAAAGGTGCAGGAAAAAGTGTGAGCGAGTGAGTGAAATATTAGAAAGGCTTCACGGCAGAGGTCTCCAAACCTGGCAACATGCTGGTGGGTAAAGTCTGGGAGTTGTCGTCCACAAGTCTTAAAAGTTACCAAGTTTGGAGAGCCCTGGTTTACTGTACAATGTAATGAGTTTATACACAAACACAGATAGACAGACACGAGGCAGCTTTTGGAGATGCCAAGAACTGAGAGAGAGAGAAAAAAAAACAATCCCATAAACCCTTTTAATATTTATTTATTACATTAAACACCAGCTCCATCCTCTCATTCTTATAAAGTGGACACGTCAAACTCGCAACATCACGTGACGTCGCGCAACGTATCGGGACTGTTTTGCCATTGTTGGCAATGGGGTGGTTGTGGCTTCCGTGTGATGCATCCGGCCCGCGGGCCGGCAGTTTGACAACCCTGCTATAAAGGAACCAAGCCTATGAGTATAATCTGCATTAAATGGAGGTTGGTTTTATAACAGTCAAAGAGCTGGATTTCTGGTTGATGACACTGGTATATCCCTGTCACTTGCCTGACAATCATAGGGCTGTAATTATCCCTGCCTCCTTCCAGAATGTTTCTCCCCCTCTACTCAGGGTAACTCACCGTTCCAAGATTTCCTGGTGGTCTCCTTTCCCAATCCTAACCAGGCCCAATCGTGCATAGGTTAGCATTACACCTCAAATAGAATGATGAAAAAAATAAAAAAAAATCTCAAGTAAAACGTTTTCATAATTGGATAGAACCTCTTGAGTTGCCTGAGGCGCAGAGGCGGACTGGACAATCTGGAGATGTTTAAACGAATATCTCTGCACACTGGTCTGGCTAGATTTACAGTGCTGGCTGTGGAATTCTGGGAGTTGAAGTCCACATGCCTTAAAATTGTCAAGGTTGAGAAACACTGGGCTAGAACTAAAAGATTACATGCGAAAACGTTTCTCCCCGATGATATTCACTGCGAAGGTGGCACTATTCAAACAACTACCCATCTTTTCACAATGCCCCCTGAAACCTACTTGCATACAGAACGACCCGCTGGCTGGAAATATCTCTGCCATTAATACGGCCTGGTTCCTGGGGCTAGAAATATATAACTATATTTTATGAAAGCTTTTAATTTTTTAAAAAAAATATTAAATTAATAACTTCCCCTTGTCTAGCTCCTGCGTTTCTGACACCAGACGAGACTGCATTTGGGTTTTGTTTTTTTATTTTTAAAATGCAACAGTATTAGTCTGTGTAGCCGGCATGGCCAGGGGATGATGGGATCTGGAGTCTGAATCCCAAGGAACTGGGGGGGAGAAAGGCCCCATTACAGGACACGCTTTGCACTCAGACAGGCTATTTTCTCTCAGGGAGGCATATGGAGGGTGGAGTCCCATATCCCTACTGTAGTAGTAGTAGTAGTAGTAATAATAATAATAATAATAATAAGTAGTAGTAGTAGTAGTAGTTGGAAGGGACCTTGGAGGTCATCAAGTCCAACCCCCTGCTCAGGCAGGTAACCCTATACCATTTCGGACAAATGGCTGTCCAGTTTCTTCTTAAAAACTTCCAGTGTTGGAGCATTCACTGCTTCTGGAGGCAGGTTGTTCCATTGGTTAATTGTTCTAACTGTCAGGAAGTTTCTCCTTAGTTCCAGGTGGCTTCTCTCCTTGATTAGTTTCCACCCCTTGCTTCTTGTCCTGCCTTCAGGCGCTTTGGAGAATAGCTTGACTGCCTCTTCTTTGGGGCAGCCCCTGAGATACTGGAATACTGCTGTCATGTCCCCCCTCATCCTTCATTAAACTAGACCAGTGGTTCTCAACCTTTTTAATGCCGCGACCCCCAACCGGTCGTAAGTCGAGGACTACTCAACCGGTCGTAAGTCGAGGACTACTCAACTGGTGCAGCACCGTTTGCAGAATGGGACTTTTGGCGGGCTCAGCAGGGCAGAGACAGCCTGGACAATTCCTATTGGCTTTTGAAAGCCAATAGAATTAGACTCTATTCAAGAGAGTCTATTCTATTGGCTTTCAAAAGCCAATAGAATAAAAGGGAGTAGCACAGCTAAGGAAAAGGGGGAAAAAATGGCAGACTGCGTTGTTTGGCGACCCCCGTGAAATGGTCGTTCGACCCCAAATGGGGTCCCGACCCACAGGTTGAGAACCACTTAACTAGACAGACCCAATTCCAGCAACCGTCATTCATCTCTATAAAGCAACGAGGCCTACAGCGAGTATAAGCTGTATTAAACCAAGGATGGTTTTCTCATAACAAAAGAGTGGGGATTTGGACAAAACAGATGTATAATGTCACTTTCACGGCAACCTTCTGCCTCCTATCAGAAGGTTCTTCCCCTCCCTCTCCTCAGGGGGAGTTCCCAGCCCTGTCATCTCCTCCTGGTCTCCACTCCACTCCACTCCCAGTTCCTAATCAGCCCCTAAACCTAACCCCGCAATAGAGAGGCCCTTCTTTCTTTTAAACGACGATATAAGCGGGGATGATGGGAGTTGGAGTCCGAAGCCTCCCCGGCTACTTTCCCTCAGGGGGCGCGCGCGCGCGCGACGGGGAGAAGCCTCTCGGCGCCCCGCGCATGCGCCGCGGAGTCTCGGCGGTGGTTCTGCGGGGAGGCGACCGGCAGTTCTCCCCCAATAAAAGCCCCGGCGGCGGGTGGGAGCCCTGCCCCCCCCCCCTTTCCCTCCCTCCCTCCCTCGCCTCAGCCCCGGCGCCGCAGCAGGGAGAAGGCGGCAGGGGCGCAGTGCGCCTGCGCAGCAGCGAGCAGAGGCCGCGCGCGCCGAAGCTCCCCTCACACACCTACACGGAGCTGAGGCGGCCGCTCCGGCGTCTTCTTCTTCCTCCTCCTCCTCCTCCCTTCCCTCCTTCCTCGCCTCCCTCCTTCCTTCCCCGCCGGCGCCGGAACCTGAGCTCGGGCCACCGCGGCTGAGGTAAGCGGGTGAGCGCTCCCGAAGCCATCCCGGGTGGCAACGCCGGACGGCCGGACGGCCTGTCAGCGGATCCCTGCGGAGCGTCAGGACGTTACGGCAACGACGGGCGGACGGCGACGACGACGACGGAGCGCCGCGCTCGGCCGTCTCCCCCGCTCGCCCCCCCCGCGCTCGCTGGCGCCTCAGCCCCTCCCCCTCCCCGGCCTCACATAGGCGAGCGCGCCTCCACCCCCCCTCCCTTTTCGACTGTCCGAGCGGAGAGCGCGGGTGCGCGTGCGCGCGGCCCCGCTGCTCTGTGTTCCCCCCCGCGCCTCACCGCGCCGCTCAGAGGTTGCTGTGGCGGAGTGGGGCGCCGTCCCCGCCGCTCGCTCTTCCGCGCTGCAGTGTGCGAATGGGCTTTGGAGTCCGCGCTCCGACCCCGGACTCTTCCCTGGATGGATGGAAGCGTCTGCGCCCCCCCCCCCTCCTCCCACGCCGGACGTGACGCGGCTGTTGTTTTTTGATGTTGGGGGAGTGCGCGGGGAGTGGTTTCTGTGGCGGGCCCCCATGTGGTGGAAGGGGCCGGACGGCACTTAAGCTTAGAAGAGCTGTTAAAAATTTTTTTATTATTATTATTTTTGGGGTGGGATTTTTCTGACTTGGATCTTGACTAAGCGGGGCCTTTATGGCGGGAAGGACTACAAAGCCCATCAGGGGCGTGGAGTGGGGGGAAGGACTCCCTCTCCCAAAGGGTGAAAGAATGGCTGATCGACAAGCTGAGAGAAGAGAATGAAATAAAGCAGGTGTTTTATTTTTATGAATAAAAAAATCATATTTTTATGAATGTATTCAGTCCGTATACTGTTCGGGGAGGCCTTGAAGGGTTTCCTCCCCCCCTCCAAATATATATAGATATAATATATAGAGAGATATATATATATAATTTGAGATAGAGAGATAGATATATAGGTAAAAATCAGTGGAGGCATCAATTTGACAAGTGAAGGTGAGAGTAAATACAGCCAAGCTCCTGAAATTTAAACTTCGCAGGTGCTTTATTAATTTTTCAAATTTGCATACTGCCAAAGCACAGTTTGGGACAGCTTTGAAGGGTTCTCCCCCCCCCCCCCAAAAAAAATCCACGGACGCATCAATTTGACAATCCAAACTGAGAGTAGACACAGCCAGGCTCCAAAAAACGGGAGTAAACAAGATTTTCTCTCTTTTTATGATTGCCACAGTTGTGAGTCATCAAACTCCCAAAATTCCTAAATTTACCCTTCTGGGATCTGGAACCCCCATGCATATATTTACCCCTACCCATTTTAAGATTGTTTTCACAGTGCTTTCTGTTGTGGATTCAGAAGCAATTTCCAGAAAGTTCAGCCAGGCTTTCTCTCTGAGCTTGCAAAAAGCAGCAGAAAGATCATAGAATTATAACTGCATTTATGCTCAGAAATATATATATATATATAGGTATGTAGGTATGTGTGTGTGTGTGTGTGTATGTAGGTCTTTGGTTATTCGGGTTTTCTCCCGCGTCAAATTGGAAGTATCTTGGCGACATTTCGACAAAGTCTCATTCGTCATCTTCAGGCTGGTGTTTTCAGCTTCGTGCTTCTAGGAGCAATGTGTGATCGCAGCATTCTGTAGAGTTCGAATGTTTGGGGAGTAAGATCAAATAGGACTTCCAAGGACAGTTAGTGCTCAACTTACGACCACAACAGACCAGAATTTCCATTGCTAAGCAAGGCGATTGTTAAGTGAGTCATGCCTGATTCTATGACCTTTTTGCCATGGTCGCTAAGTGGAATCACGCAGTTGTTAAGTGAATCCGGCTTCTACTGACCTTGCTTGTAAGAAGACAGTGGGAAGGTTTTAAATGGTGATCACATCACCCTGAGGTGCTGCAATTATTGTGATTATATGTAGGTTGCTTAGTGCCTGAATTTTGATCACATGATCACAGGGATGCTACGAAGGTTGTACCTGCAAGGACTGTAGTAATTGTGCTTTGTTGTACCCATTTTAAAAATATATATTAGAGGTCACCGTTTTTCAGGATACGAACTAGAACAGCAAGAAGAAACAAATGGGAGAGTAAGATACGGTAAATGTAGCAAAAACATGGTCTTATCAATAGCTTTTGTATAAGCAGTGGTTGCTTAACGTTGAAATACTCAGTCCTGCGTTATTACTTTATTATTAAATATTAAATAATATGAAATCCTGCATTTGAAAACTTGAGAATAATGACATCGATAGGGTGTCCTTTTAAGGGAACAAACGTTGGAAGTGATGCAAAGGGGCACAAGAATAAAACCCTGTAGATTGTACAGGTAGCCCTTGACTTGCAACAGTTCATTTAGTGACCGTTACAAGTTACAACACCACTGAAAAAAGTGAGCATTTCTCACCCTTAACGATCAATTTCAGTTGCAAATGTTTTGTAGCATTTCTGGAAATTGCTATTTTTCCTATTCGAAAGGTGCTTTTTTTTTTTGTCTTGGAGCTACAAGGATATTTCTCATGTGCCTTGGGCTGGTACACATTACAGTAAAGTTCACTCATGCCAATATTCTTATGGCTTAGTAAAATGCGTAGCTCCAGTTACTGTCCTTTTCCTGTGAAATTACCTGTGAAGGAGTCTTAATTAAATAAGACTGTAATGAAATGAAGTGGCAGTTATCTGAGGTGCCTGCAGTGCTTGGAGTGCAAACCATTTCCTTCTGTGCATGCATTTGCTGGGATGCCCTACCTGCAGAAAGAATTTAAGTTTATTCACCCCACTTGATCAGGTCTAGTGTTTTTTTTTTCAAGCTTCACTAATTTTCCTGATTTGGTTTCTTTATTAATGCTAGACGTGATTTGTTTCACTGTGATTTGTTTAATTAACCTCAAATAGCTGTGCTGGCATAGCATATAAAGAGATCAAACCCTGATTTGAAAACTGCAAAAATACATCAGCTAAAACTGTAGAAGCGTAGTTATGAGGCACCAGACTGTAGTCCATATATTGGGCCTTCAGATGTCACTTGTGTCATAACGCAATCTCTTTGGCTCACGCTGCAAAAAAAGTAGGGTTTCACATGACCCCCTGGGACAATGCAACTGCCATAAATGCTTGCTAGTTGCCAACTTGGAGATGTTGGCGAACTTGGGGATCACCTAAACCAGGGGTGGGCAACCTTGGCTCTTTTATGACTCGTGGACTTCAACTCCCAGAATTCCTGAGCCAGCCTGAGTCAGTCCATGAGTCATAAAAGAGCCAAAGTTGCCTACCCCTGACCTAAACAGAGGAGTGCAGTACAATAAGAATAATTAAAGTGGTGGTGCAGTGGTTAGAATGCAGTATTGCGGGCTACTTTTGCTGACTCCTGACTGCCAGCAGTTTGGCAGTTCAAGTCTCACCAGCTCAAGGTTGACTCAGCCTTCCATCCTTCCGAGGTCGGTAAAATGAGGATCCAGATTGTTGGGGGCAAGAGGCTGACTCTTTAAACCGCTTAGAGAGGGCTGTGAAGCACTGTGAAGTGGTATATAAGTCTAGTGCTATTGCTAAATCTTAAGGAAGGAAGGAAGATTAAGGAAGGAAAAGGGAGGGAGGGAGGGAGGGAAGGAAAGGAAGGAAGGAAGGAAGGAAGGAAGGAAGGAAGGAAGGGCCCTGGTGGAGCAGTGGTTAGAAGGCAGCATTGCAGGCTGACTCTGCTGACTGCCAGCAGTTCGATTCTGACTGGCTCAAGGTTGACTCAGCCTTCCATCCTTCCGAGGTCAGTAAAATGAGGACCTAGATTGTTGGGGGCAATAGGCTGCCTCTGTAAACTGCTTAGAGAGGGCTGTAAAGCATTGTGAAGCAATATATAAGTATAAGGGCTATCTCCGTCCATCCCTATCTTTCTATCTATCTATTTATTTATCTATCTATCATCTATCTATCTGCCATGGTGCTGCAGTGGTTAGAATGCAGCATTGCAGGCTAACTCTGCCCACAGCCTGGAGTTTAATCCAGGTTGACTCAGTCTTCCATCCTTCTGATGTCGGTAAAACGAGGATTCAGATTGTTGGGGGTAACATGCTGACTCTCTAAACCGCTTAGAGGGCTGTAAAGCACTATGAAGTGGTATATAACTCTAAGTGCTATTGCTATTGCTAAAATGTTTAAAAATGTGTGTTTTTCTGGAAATTCCAGAAGTTGTGATCTCAATAATCTAGAACGGTATTAGCTTCATTAATGAATTTTGATGACACTGAAGAGAAATGCTCTCACATCCGTTGTAATGGCTTGCAGAGGTGGAAATTATATGCTACCGTACAAGATGTCCCTGATGCTGGTTGAAAATGATGAAATGCATTCAGAGTAGATGAGTAGAGTGGTAACTCCTTCGCTTTGTTGTCCTTCAACAGGATAAAGAGCTTCTAAAGGAGCTTCCTTAATGATGGCGACGCAAGATATGAGCATGCATATGGAGGAGGTTGTCGTGGTAACAACTCCAGATAGTGTGGTGGATGGCAGCGGTGTGGAGGAAGTGAAGACTGTCCTCGTTACCACCAATTTGTCCCAGCATGGGTGAGTAAAAAGATGAGCTATTCAAAACTGTAGCTATTACAGTGGTGTACCAAGAATATTTGACACCTGGGGCAGGTCCTCTTTTAACACACACCCCTTCCTTCATTGTTGAGATCCAGTTTGGGTAGTGGTTAAGACATCAGATTAGAAGCTAGGAGACTGAATTCTAGTCCTGCGTTAGGCCTGAAACTGGCTGGATGACTTTGGGCCGATCACCAGAAGACAGTGAGTTCTAGTCCTGCCTTAGGCACAAAAGCCAGCTGGGAGATTTTGGGCTAATCACCAGGAGATGGTGAGTTCTAGTCCTGCCTTAGCACAAAAGCCAGCTGGGAGATTTTGGGCCAATCACCGGGAGACGGTGAGTTCTAGTCCTGCCTTAGGCACAAAAGCCAGCTGGGAGATTTTGGGCCAATCCCCGGGAGACGGTGAGTTCTAGTCATGCCTTAGGCACAAAAGCCAGCTGGGAGATTGTGGGCCAATCACCGGGAGATGGTGAGTTCTAGTCCTGCCTTAGGCACAAAAGCCAGCTGGGAGATTTTGGGCCAATCCCCGGGAGACGGTGAGTTCTAGTCCTGCCGTAGGCACAAAAGCCAGTTGGGAGATTTTGGGCCAATCCCCAGGAGACAGTGAGTTCTAGTCCTGCCTTAGGCACAAAAGACAGCTGGGAGATTTTGGGCCAATCCCCGGGAGACGGTGAGTTCTAGTCATGCCTTAGGCACAAAAGCCAGCTGGGAGATTTTGGAGCAATCACCAGGAGATGATGTATTCTAGTTCCGCTTTGGCCATGAAGCCAACTGGATGACCTTGGGCCAGTAGCTCTCAACATTAGGAAGAAGAAGACAAGTTCAAACCAATTCTAAAAAAATAAGTAAAGTAATGGTCAGTCCCTGGAGATCAAAAGTGTCTTGAAGGTACACATTTTTTTCCTCCATTGCGGCTCTGCCACCAGTGATTGACTCACAAACAGCTGATTGGCACACGGGCAGCACTAACCTGTCTCCAAGCCCACGTCTAGCCTCCTACTATCTTCAGCACCTCCCTTTTATTGCCTGCATACCCCCTCCTACCTTGATACACCTCTGAGCTGCTGCGCATCTTCTACTTATATCTCTGGAATGTAGAAATTCATGCGAAAGAGGTTAGAATTAATAAATGATATAGTTTATTAATTTATTAAATTTACATAGCCACCTAACTCAACGTACAGCGACTCTGGGCAGTCTACAGCAGAGGTCCCCAACCTTTTGGACACCAGGGACCGGTTCTGGGGAGGGGGAGGTTTTTCTGCGGACCGGAGGGGGCGTGGTTTGGGTGCTTCCTGCATCCCGCGGATGGAGCTTTGCTTGTTTGTGTGGACCGGTTGCTGGCATGCCACTGCCCGGTACTGATCCATAGACAGGGGGTTGGGGACCCCTGGTGTACAGCATTAAAAAATCCACAGTTTAAACCAGTGGTTCTCAACCTTTTTAATGCCGCGACCCCCCCCAACCGGTCATAAGTCAAGGACTACTCAACTGGTCGTAAATCGAGGACTACTCAACGGGTGCAGTACCGTTTGCAGAATGGGACTTTTGGCGGGCTCAGCGGGGCAGAGACAGCCTGGACAATTCCTGTTGGCTTTTGAAAGCCAATAGAATTAGACTCTATTCAAGAGAGTCTATTCTATTGGCTTTCAAAAGCCAATAGAATAAAAGGGAGTAGCACAGCTAAGCAAAAGGGGGGGAAAAATGGCTGACTGCGTTGTTTGGCAACCCCCGTGAAATGGTCGTGCGACCCCAAATGGGGTCCCGACCCACAGGTTGAGAACCACTGGTTTAAACCCTCCCAATATAGTTAATCATCAATGGGAAAATAACGCCTTCAGAGAGAGGTTCCATAGCTCACTTTGCTGTGGAATAAAGGGGGAAAAATGACTGTAAACAACATTATAATAGTTTCTCGTACATCTCGCATATAAAATTGAAATAACTCTTTCACCTTAGGCATTTTGACTGCTATACTGCAGTTCTACTTTTTTTATAATCTCTCTTGCCTTGCAGCCCCCCAACTAGGGGCGTTAAGCAGGCTCAAGTCGCTACTGCGATGCATTGTAAATTCAGATTTCTTTTTGCTGACAAGAGTTAAAGATTTAAGTGGGAGACTTGACTCGGCTGACAAAAGAGGGGAGGAGAGCCTGTGGCCTGGTGGTTAATACAACTGCCTAGCATGTAGACTGCTCAGGTTCGAATCCCATAAAGGGTGTGGCTAGCTGATGATGACAAAATGAGTCCGAAATAGCTATACTAGTCTCCCACTTAAACCTTTAACTCTTGTCAGAGTTATATATTCCTTCAATGTAATTTCTCAAATCTAATACTATATATGGCTGGCTCAGGAATTCTGGGATTTGAAGTCCACGAGTCATAAAAGAACTAAGGTTGCCTACTCCTGGTCTGGTGATTAAGGCCTCAAGCTAGAAAGAGGGAGATGGAGTTTTAGTCCTGCTTTAGGCATGAAAGTTGGCTGGGTGGCTTTGGGCCAATCACTCAGAGACACTGAGTTCTAATCCCACCTTAGGTACAAAAGCCAGCTGGGTGATTGAGCCAATCATCAGGAGATGTTGAGTTCTAGTCCTGCCTTAGGCATAAAAGCTGGCTGGGTGCCCAATCAATCACCAGGAGACGGTCCGTTCTAATCCCACCTTAGGCACGAAAGCCATTTGTATGACTTTGGATCAGTCACCAGGAGATGGCGAATTCTCGTTTCCGCCTTAGACCTGAAAACCAACCGGGTGACCTTGGCCCGGTCACTCTCAGACCAACCCACCTCACAGGGTTGTTGTGGGAAAAATAGGAACAGGAAGGTATGTTGGATGCTGTGTATTCACCGCTTTGAGTTATTTGTAACAATAAAGGGAGGATAGAAATACATAAAAATAAAATAGCTTTTACAAAAAAAAAAAAAAACCCACCTTTGGAACTTAATCTCTTTTAAAAAGAAGTTGTAAAGTTTGCGGTTGTAAAGTTTGTGGCAGTTGCTGAAAATTGCAGCTGACTTCCCCCAAGCCTGCCATAGGGTGGGGGGGGGGGAATGAGCAGATAGGCAGACTAAATCGATTCCAGGCAGCCTTTAATATATACGCTTAATAAAGCATCCCAGACACTGCAATTATCCCCCCCCCCCAAGTTTGGCAAGGTTTATTTCTATGCAATGCGCTGCCAGAAAGTCTAAAAGAAACATTTTGCTTTCATATTAACCAGCATTATCTTAAAATATTTGGGAAACGCCACACCTTCCTCTTGTGAGTTCAAGACCTGTTTGACTAGTAGCCGAGAGCGAGAATGGATACTCCTGAGCCCTGGTTGACAGCCTGAGTGCACTTACTGTTCTCTTGTAATAAATAGAAATAAAGACGTCATCCTGGCAAAGAAATGGGTGGTGACTTGGGCAGACAAAGCATACGGGACGATTGCGCTGTAATCTGCAGTTAGCAGATGCTGAGGGGAAGATGGTGCCGCTGCGCTTAATGTCACATTTTCCCTTTGTGTAGCCAGGCGATGAAGGACACAGCTGTCTGCCCGATCTACCCACTCTTTTTTAGAAGCCAGGAGCTTTTAGCTCTGGAGTATCCTATGTGTTATTAGTTGCAAAGTCATGTCTGACCCATCGCAAACCCATGGACCACGTTCCTCCAGGCCTTCCTGTCCTCCACCATCTTCTGGCGTCCATGGAAGCTCACGCCTGCTGCTTCAGTGACTCCATCCAGCCACCTCCTTCTCTGTTGTCCCCTTCTTCTATTGCCCTTCATCTTTCCCAGCATTAGGCTCTTCTCCAGTGAGTCCTTCCTTCTCATTAGGTGGCCAAAGTGCTTGAGTTTCCACTTCAGGATCTGGCCTTCTAAAGAGCAGTCGGGGTGGATCTCCTCTAGGACTGACCGGTTGGATCACCTTGCAGTCCAGGGGACTTGCAGGAGTCTTCTCCAGCACCAGAGTTCAAAGGCCTCCATTCTTTGGCGCTCAGCCTTTCTTATGGTCCAACTTTCACAGCCATTCATTGCAACTGGGAAAACCATGGCCTGGACTATACGCACTTTTGTTGGCAGGGTGATGTCTCTGCTTTTTAGTATGCTGTCTAGATTTGCCATAGCCTTCCTCCCCAGGAGCAAGCGTCTTTTAATTTCTTGGCTGCAGTCCCCATCTGAGGTGATCTTGGAGCCCAGAAAAATAAAATTAAAATAGTTAATAACCAGCAGATCCCCTTCCTTATCTTCCTTTTCACCGTCCCACTTCAGGAAGTACAGAGGGATTGAAATGATTGGACGAGGCTTGTTAATCACATTTCTTTATTTACTAAATTGATACGCTGCCCATCTCACTGTGACACGCCACACACTCAATGGGAAAGCTGCTGCAACAGCCTTCGTATTGGTTGTAAATAGGATCGGTCCATCATAACTTTGAACAGTCATTAAACTAGTGGTTGTACGGTCCTGTGAAAAAGAATGTACAGGTAGTCCTCGAGTTAACGACCACAGTTGACCCCCCCCCAAATTTATGTTGCTAAGCGAAACACTTGTCACGTGAGTTTTGTCCCATCTTACGACACTTCTCGCCACAGTTGTTAAGGGAATCATGGCATTTGTTGAGCTAGGAGCCATGTTTGTTAAGGGAATCTGGCTTCCCCACTGATTTTGCTTGTCAGGAGGTCGCAGAAGGGGATCACATGACCCCAGGGACTCCGCGACTGTCATAAACACGAACCACTTGCCAAGCGTCTGAATTCTGGGGGTGCTACAGCGGTCGTAAGTGAAAAATGGTCATAAGTCGCTTTTTTTTTCAGCGCCGTTGTAACTTTGAACCGTTGTAAATCGAGGACTGCCTGTACACTCTCTTGGAGTCCTGTGGTTTTGTGTATCTGGGCTATGTAGTAAAAATGATCTGGTCCTTAGCAGTTCTTAAAAGTAGGTAAATAACAACCTCAGATGAACCACAACACGTGACATGTTACGCCGTGCCGTCATTCGTTTTACCTAAAAGAAAGCCAGCGTGAAGCAGCCAAGTGAATTTTCTAGAGGAAAATGGCTAAAATGAGCAGTTTCGCTAATACTGTTTCTTCACCGTTTGTCCCTTTCTCTCTGAACCAGGAGTGACCTCAGTGAGGACACCCTGGAGACCGAAAACGCAGCTGCTGCAGCTGCCGCAGCTTTTACCGCCTCTGCACATCTGAAGGAAGCCCTTTTAGGTAAGTGGGGTGAGTCAGGACATTCATATCCCCCAAACTACTCGTGAAGAGGAAAGTGTGAGTTACTGTGTGAAAGTGGCAATGGCTCCTGGCAGTTTCACCATACTTGAGAAGACTTCAGGAGGAGAAAACATTAGCCCTGGGCAGTAAATGTTGGACACTTAAAAACTGTAAGAGATAACTCAGTTCAGATGGGTATTAGCATGCCTTCCTTCCTTCCTTCCTTCCTTCCTTCCTTCCTTCCTTCCTTCCTTCCTTCCTTCCTTCCTTCCTTCCTTCCTTCCTTCCTTCCTTCCTCCCTTTCCTATTTCTCTTTCGTTTCTCTTTCCTTTCCCTTCCCTTTCTTTATCTTCCCTTCCTTTCCTGTCCTTCCCTTCCTTCCCTTCCCTCCAACTTTTCTTCCTTTCCTTCCCTCCCACTTTCTTTCCTTTCCTTCCCTTTTCCTTTCCCTTTTCTTTTCCTTTCCCTTTCCTTTCCTTCCCTCCCACTTTTCTTCCTTTCCTTTCCTTCCCTTTTCCTTTCCTTTCCTTTCCTTCCACTTTCTTTCCTTTCCTTCCTTTTTCCTTTCCCTTTCCTTTCCCTTTCCTTTCCCTTTCCTTCCCTCCCACTTTTCTTCCTTTCCTTTCCTTCCCTTTTCCTTTCCTTTCCTCCCCTCCCACTTTTCTTCCTTTCCCTCCCTTTCCTTTTCTTTCCTTTCCTTCCCTCCCACTTTTCCTCCTTCCCTTCCCTACCCTTCCCTTTCCTTTCCTTCCCTCCAGCTTTTCTTCCTTCCTTTCCCTTCCTTTCCTTTCCTTCCACTTTTTTCCTTTCCTGTCCTTCCCTCCAACTTTTCTTCCTTCCTTTCCTTTCCTTCCACTTTCTTTCCTTTCCCTTTCCTTTCCCTTTCCTTTCCCTTTCCTTCCCTACCCTTTCCTTTTCTTCCTTTCTTTTCCTTCCTTTCCTTCCATCTTCCCAGCCCCCTCTCGCCTTCCTTCCTCTCTTCCTTCCTTCGTTCCTTGGACTTCCAGGACAGAAAGGGTGCATTCCAGCAGAGCAAAAGACAACTCAGCAGAAAGAGGGTGAAGACAGCACCCTCCTAATAGTTGCCAGAGCATATGCTTCATCTAGGTAGCAGTCAACTTCAGTTTGGCAAGATTCTGTCAGAAGGTGTCAAACAATAAAGAACTCGGCTTGGAAGAACCGCCGCATCTCTTCCTTGGTTTTTGGAGCCTGACAAACTCTGCAACTCTGCAAACTCTAGAAATATAGTGTCATCGTATAGCCCAGGGGTGGGCAATCTTGGCTCTTTTATGACTCGTGGACTTCAACTCCCAGAATTCCTGAGCCAGCCACGCTGCGGGAAAAGGGAGAGGTTTCCAAGCTGAGCCAGGCTGGCTCAGGAATTCTGGGAGTTGAAGTCCACCAGTCATAAAAGAGCCAAGGTTGCCGACCCCCGGTATAGCCCATTGTATAGAGCTCAAGGCAAGGCACTGCCAGTGGTCCTCAACTTACAACCCCAACTGAGCCCAAAGGCTGTGTTGCTAAACAAGGCAGTTAATTGAATTTTGCCCCATTTTATGACTTTTTTTGCTACTATTGGCAAGCAAATCCCTTCAGTTGTAAAGGGAACATGTCTTCCTCACCGTTTGCTTGTCAGAAGGCCACAAAAGGAGAATCACAGGACCCCAGGACACTGCAACCGTCACAGATATGAGCTAGTTGCTCATACGAGCATCTGAATTTTGATCACCTGATTATGGGGATGCTGCAAGGGCCCATAAGTGCGAAAAACGGTCATAAATCACTTCTTTCAGTGCCGTTGTAATTACAAATAGTCACTAAAAGTGGTCTAAAGTCGAAGACTGCCTGTATTTCCTAGATTTTATCCCCACCACAGCCCAAAGACACATAAGTGTTTTGCTCACGTTTGAACTCACTCAGCCTGTCTTGGGGCAACCCACTAACAGCTCTAAAATGCAACAACAAGAGTGTTGAGAAATGGTTGGAACTGTTTTTTCCCTTAGTTTGCCTGTTTCCCTTGAGTCTTGCTTTCTCCCTGTAAAGTTAAAAAGACGAAATTAAAACTTAACAAGCTAAAATCCTCCCTACTCTATTCTCAAAGTCATTCCGATTTAGAGAAATGCATTTTATTTGGCTTTCATTTAGAGCAGTATCTGAATCTAGCTATTCCAAGTGGCCTGTTGATGCATTATTTGTGTGACAGACCCCATTGCTATGAAGAGAACTTCATGCAGTCGTGGCCAAAATTGTGGAAACCTTTTGGGAAAAGTGTACCGTAGAAATGCCAACTTTAGTTAAGTTTCCACCCATTTTTCTTCTACTTTCTTTATAATGTAGCCTTGTTCACTTAATAATACTGTTTTACATCACCTTGTGGGGGACCAGTCAACCCTTTGCACTATTACTTTAATTTTATGACATTTTACAAGCTCACTCAATGAAAGAACATAAAAAAAAACCCAACCAACTTGACAGCCATCACACAACACACTGACCAATGTCCTCCTCTCAGCTTCAATACAGGACATCCATCACTGAATCCTACTGTGATCGGATTGGCTCATGGCCAAAACAAGATGACAACTGATTGGCTCTCTAAACACTCGTGCTCATTGGCTACAATTGGATGAAGGAAAGCTCCCTGAGATCAACCTGAGCAAGTTGTGCTTCCTTTTTCTGGTTATTTGGCTATAGCTTTTCATAGAATACAGTGCAGATAATTGAACAAACTTGGTTGCATTACGTTCTCGATTAAATTAGCTTTCCATTGATATATACTTTTATGGTACTACTCCAAAAAAAAGGGGGTGTTATTAGCCATCCAACCTCAAAAATACACTTTTCCCAAAAGGTTTCCACAATTTTGGCCACTACTGTAGATGGGGAAGGAATATGGGCATTATCTTTTCAGCCTTTAAAACCAGGGCTGTCAAACTGTCGGCCCACGGGCTGGATATGTCATGCCGAAACCCGCACCCACCCCAGCTCCGGAAATGGGAAAGTTGCGATACGTTACGACATGTCACATGACGTTGCGAGTTTGACACCCCTGCTTTAAACCATCTTCACCCTCATGAGTAATTCATCGATCAGAATAGAGCTGGAAGAGATCTTCAAGATCTTCTAGTCCAGTGGTTCTCAACCTGTGGGTCGGGACCCCATTTGGGATCGAACGACCATTTCACGGGGGTCGCCAAACAAGGCTGTCCGCCATTTTTCCCCCTTTTCTTTAGCCACGCCCCTGGCACCCGGTGATATATAAGTGGTTGGGGGTCACCACAACATGGGGAACTGTATTATGGGGTCGCGGCATTAGAAAGGTTGAGAACCACTGTTCTAGTCCAACCCCCTGCATAAGCAGGAGACCCAATACTCTTTCAGACAAGTGATTGTCCAGTCTTTTCTTAAAAACCTCAAGTGATGAAGCACCTACAAATTCTGGAGGCAAGCTGTTCCACAGGTTAATTGTTCCTCACCGTTAGGAAGTTTCTCCTTAATTCCAGGTTGCTTCTCTCCTTGATCAGTTTCCAAACATTGTTTCTTGTCCAGCCCTCTGGTGCTTTGGAGAATAGCTTGACCCCCTCTTCTTTGGGGCAGCCCCTCAAATGCTGGAAGACTGCTATGATGTCACCCCTAGTCATCCTTTTCATTAAACTGGCGAACCTTTTAGAGACCGAGTGCCCAAACTGCAAACCAAAACCCACTTATTTTTATAGATCACGTGAAGTATTAATATCACTCTTCAATGCCTTGGTAAGGCCACACTTGGAATACTGCATCCAGTTTTGGTCACCACGTTGTAAAAAAGATGTTGAGACTCTAGAAAGATTACAGAGAAGAGCAACAAAGATGATTAGGGGACTGGAGGCTAAAACATATAAGGAACAGTTGCTAGAATTGGGTATGTCTAGCTTAACGAAGAGAAGGACGAGGGGGGACAGGATAGCAGTCTTCCAGTATCTCAGGGGCTGCCCCAAAGAAGAGGAAGTCAAGCTATTCTCCAAAGCGCCCAAAGGCAGGACAAAAAGTAACAGACAGAAACTAATCAAGGAGAGAAGCAACCTAGAACTAAGGAGAAACTTCCTGACAGTGAGAACAATTAATCAGTGGAACAGCCTGCCTCCAGAAGCAGTAAATGCTCCAACACTGGAAGTTTTTAAGAAGAGACTGGACAGCCATTTGTCCGAAATGGTGTAGGGTTTCCTGCCTGAGCAGGGGGTTGGACTAGATGACCTCCAAGGTCCCTTCCAACTTTACTACTATTACTATTATTTATCACCGGGTGCCAGGTGGGCGTAGCTGTGGTGGTCATGGCAGATTGAGTGGGTGTGGCCAAGGTGGGCATGGTCACCTCAATGTTGCTCATGGGGAGGGACGCCTGTGGGGGGTGGGCAGGGTTGGGGGAGATCCAGGGGATCTCTGGCAGGTGAGGCAGGAGGCTCGCCCTGCAGGGTGAGGTGAAGCAGGGCGGGGGTGCCATTGCCATGGGGCAAGGCAAGGGCCAGGGCGGCTGCTACCTGACACCATCGGCCCCCACACACAGGCCAGCGAGCATATGGGTGCTGACAGTGTCCATCAGCAGCCACAGCTTACGGGACCCTTGACCAGTACACTCTGGGGCTCCCAGCCTGTCGCCAGCAGTTCAAAGAAGCCACCTCTGAGCTGGAAGGCTGGCCGACAGCTGAGGAGGCGATGTAGTGGGTCATGCCCGGGAAAAGGAGAGCATGCGAGGCCAGGGACGGGGGGGAGGGAAACCAGCCATGCCGAGATGCATCCAGCCACGTGGGACCTCGGCAAGTTAGCAGGCGGCTGGTTGAAGAGGGACAGTTGCCATCTCCAGGGCATGGCATGCGTGCCCACAGAGTGGGGTCTGGGTGCCGCCTCTGGCACCCGTGCTATAGGTTCGCCACCACTGTCATATGCAGTATTCCAGGTGTGACCTTATTAAGGCTTTATAAAGCCTTACCAATACTTCACGCCTCTGTTTATACAACCCCGGATTGTTATTAGCTTTTTTGCCTGCCACTGCACACGGCTAGCTCATATTTAAGAGATTGACACGGTGTGTGTACTCTTTTTCTAATTAAAAAACCTCCTTTTGATTCCTCACCTTGAAGTGAAGATGGCGGAAGGAGAGGAATGCATAGAAGCTGAGGTGGCTTATCCCATCACCTGTGGTGACAGCAAAGCAAACCTGATATGGCGGAAGTTTGTTTGCCCCGGCATCAACGTGAAGTGTGTGCAGGTGAGATTGTTACAATGATTCGTCACACAGCCAGCCAGATGTTTAGACAGGATTTGCCATTTTTGTTCTGCCTTTTGATTCCCTCCCAAGGACCTGGGATAGGCAGATGTGGATATTTGATGGTGTTACAGATATGATGATGGTGATGGCTGGTCACATGGTCAGCCAAATGTTTAGAGCAGATATGGCATTTTTATCCGTCTCTTGAGTCCTTCCCAAGGACCTGGAATAGGCAGATATGGATATTTGATGGTGTTAAAGGCAATGTCATTGCAGGATGTCAGAAGCTGCCTTTTACAAGGGACTGATGGGGATTTTGTCAGTGCCAATGGTGCTCCAGATGTTTTGGGATTGCGCCCAAGGCAATCCTTAATTTAATTAAGTTAGAAACTGGAACCAATGGAGTGGGGGAGGGAGCTTCGTCCTGGTCCAGTAAAGACCTCCAGTACATCTACCTTTTTAAGGTAGTTCTTGAAAGCATAGAAAACAGAACAGGGCTGTGTGTCTTCATGCACTCCACCTTCAAGCATTGTGGGTGCTCCAATGCTGGAGGTTTTTAGGAAGAGATTGGACAGTCACTTGTCTGAAATTGTGTAGAGTCTCCTGCTTGAGTATGGGGTTAGACTAGAACACGGGTCAGCAACCTGTGGCTCCGGAGCTGCATGTGGCTCTTTGAGCCTTCTCCTGCGGCTCCCAGCCTCCTCTGCCATTTGCAGAGAGAGAGACAGAGACAAAGAAAGGCACTTCCCTTCCCTGCTTCCCTTCCCTTCTCTCTCTCTCTCTCTCTCCGTGTGTGTGTGTGTGTGTGTGTGTAAAAAAGTGGCCTCACGCTGTCCTCCGACAAACTTATTGAGCGGGGCTCCTCCCTTTGCTGTGTCTCAGCAGGAAGCAGCAGCTCTCTCTGTCTGTCTCTCTCTCTCTCTCTCTCTCTCTCTCACACACACACACACACATACACACTCACACTGAGTGGGGAAAGAGGACTGGCAGACTAAGAGCAGGAGAGAGCCAGCCCAATAAGAATGTGTGTCAGCTTCTTGGAAGACAGCATGAAGCCAGCTTGCCAGGTGAGCAGAAGATCGGAGAGAGAGAGAGAGAGAGAGAGAGAGAGAGAGAGAACTCATGCACAGCAGCCTCTATTTCTTTTTAATTAAACTCTTCAATCAAGCCCCCCCCCCTCCCACGCATGCAACTTTTGTGGCTCCCAGTGTTTTCTTTTCTCTGGGAAACGGGTCCAAGTGGCTCTTTGAGTGTTTAAGGTTGCCGACCCCTGACTAGAAGATCTCCAAGGTCCCTTCCAACTCTGTTATTCTTTTATTCATGGGCTGATGTTCAAAGTCTAGCCAGATCTGGCATCTTGGTCTATCGGACATTGAGTGCCAGATCTGGAAGGCATGGGTGGGAGTTTAGAGTAGGCATCAATCAGAAGCAGTTCTATTTTCTTTATTCAGTCTCTACTTTGCCTGTGTCTGTCAAGGTTCCAATTGATGGAACCAAATAAATCAGAACCCCGAGGCTTGAGATTTCCTCAAAGAACTTGTTTATTGGATACATCGTGTCGGCACGGTCAAAAGCAAAGCCAACTCTAAAATTCCCCCCAGGAATTCCATATGATAAAATGTCACAATTGCCTCCCTCCCTTCTGCTTCTGCTATTGATCCCATTATCCGATGAGACTAATTGGCGGGCTTCTTGACAGATCTCCCCTCCGCCTTGTGGGTCTGCTGAGAATGACCTTGGTTCCCATGGGACCGTGCTGTGTTTAGTCTAGCAAAAGCAAACCCTTCCCCCTCCCCTTTTTGGTGGCAACTTAAAAACGACAAAGATGGCTACAGCCAGGTTCGTTTCAGAAGTCGACAGTGTCTGTGTGATGTAGCCATGAACCTTTCTGATCAGTCTGTTCTCCCAGCATGATTTTGGTAATGTGTCCCATAAGAGATATAATGAAATGGAGGTGGCGCAGCAGTTAGAGTGCAGTACTACAGGCCACTTTAGCTGACTGTGTTCAGCAAGTCAGCGGTTCAAATCTCACCGGCTCAAGGTTGACTCAGCCTTCCATCCTTCCGGGGTAGGTAAAATGAGGACCCAGATTGTTGGGGGCAATGTAAATATATATATATATATACATTGCTTACTGGTGTACACCGCTTAGAGAGTGCTTGTACTTAAAGCGGTATATAAGTCTCATAAATAAATAAATAAATAAATAAATAAATAAATAAATTCAGATGCTTGGGAACTGGTTCATATATAATGATGATGATGATGTTTGTGATGTTGGAAGGGACCTTGGAGGTCATCTAGTCCAACCAGGCAGGAAACCCTACACCATTTCAGACAAATCACTGTCCAGTCTCTTCTTAAAAACTTCCAGGGTTAGAGCATTCACCGCTTCTGGAGGCAAGTTGTTCCACTGGTTAATTGTTCTCACTGTCAAGAAATTCCTCCTTAATTCGGGGTTGCTTCTCTCCTTGGTTAGCTTCCATCCGTTGCTTCTTGTCCTGCCTTCAGGCGCTTTGGAGAATAGCTTGACTCCCTCTTCTTTGGGGCAGCCCTTGAGATACTGGAACCCTGCTATCATGTCCCCCCTCGTCCTTCTCTTTGTTAAACTAGACATACCCAATTCCAGCAACCGTTTCCTTATGTGTTTTGGCCTCCAGTCCCCTGATCATCTTTGTTGCTCTTCCCTGCATTCTAGAAATGCTTCCTGAATTTGGACTGTAGCAATCCATGAGAAGCAGCAGAGTCTTCGGAAGAGACACAGGGAGGAAATGGGGTTTCCCAATATGTGACATCCTTTTGAGATAGTCCAGGCAGGAAGCACACCCAGATGAACTAATTCTACTTTATTGTAAGATTACATGAATAGAATCTTGCAGTAGTCTGAAAGTACTACTCTTCCCCCTCACCTTTACATCCCAAGAAACTAAGGAAAGCCTATTTGAGATGGTTGCCAGGCCTTCTCTGCCCCTTATCTGACCGCTGACTCGTCTGCTGCTCTTCCCCCTGTCTCCCAAGGTCATCTATGCAAGACATTACCTTAGTCGCTTGCCTTCTTCACCCAACATCCTTTCTCTTTCCTTCTCGCAGTACGACAATCATTTGATAAGTCCTAAGGAATTTGTGCATTTGGCTGGCAAGTCCACCCTGAAGGACTGGAAAAGGGCCATCCGAATGAATGGAATCATGCTAAGGTAAACTGCAAACCCCACTCCCTTCTACCCCTGAGGATATTACCTAATTGGGTAAAGAGATGTCTCTTGAGAAAACTGCCACATTCAGAGAGCATCCAGGGCCCCACAGTTCAACCCTGAGCTGCAAATAATTGTGATGAGCCAGGGCACAGCACTGAGGCAATGCAGTCGGCTGGTATTGCTCCAAATTTTTCCCCAATGCTCCCACGCTTCTGACAAGCCTCCAAACACAGGAAGACACACATACACACACCTCCAGCCGCCTCTGGCTGCAAGTAGTTTCACATACAGTCTGATTAGGAGAGGAATTTACTCAAGGCCACGGAGATAACAAGGAATGACACATACATCATAAACCTAACGCTTGCCTGAGCAGTTTCCAAAAGGGAAGCCAAAATACAGTCTGAGATCTATTTTCCTGTCTCATGCAAAGAGATTGCTGGATTTCACTTGAAACAGGCAGAATCAACTTCACGGATAAGTCATACGAAATTACTTTATTCCAGGCATCTTCAGGTCAATAACTTAACAGTTACTGCAGAAGTTCATCTAGAATGCAGATTGTAATCTGGACCCATCGCATATGTAAAAGGATAATAGATGTCTTCATCCTACTAAGCTCCTAACCCTCGTGGCTAGGATTCATGGAGAGATGATAGACTGGTACGTAAACAGGATATCCCATAATAAAAACACAAGTCCCTCCCAGTGGCCAGTTAGAACACAGATATAACTAGGTAGCAACTAAAACTACTGTACTTTCCGGCGTTTAGGACGACTTTCGCAAGCTTTAAAATTGGCGCCGAAGTCGGGGGTCATCTTATACGCCGAGTCATCTTATACGCCGGAAATAACGGTAGTTTCCGGCGTATAAGACAACTTTCTAGGCATGCAACTCGGCGCCGAAGACTGGGGTTGTCTTATATGCCGGGTCGCCTTATACGCCGGAATATATGGTACATTTCCCAGAAGGCCACCCTTAAGGGGGACAGCATTTTAACCCTTAAAATGCTACTTGCTCTACACACAATTCTTAATTCCTAAGCTAGTTATGTACTCTGGCCAGATGGCCTGCAAGTAGTTTCCCATACATCATAAACCGAATGAGTCTGTGTGAATACACACTTGCCTGAGCACTCTCAGTACAGTCCGAGATCTTTGAACATCCAAGCAACGTTGTCAGTCAGTCCAATGGTCAGAGTTTCCAGGTTTCAAAGCAGAAGTCACAACACGGAACAAGAGATCAGCAACAAACACACACAAAACTCCAAGGAATCAGCGTTTGTTCCTGACAAATGCCTCTCCCCACAGCGTCTCCTTAAGTCTCAGTCTCCAGGTGTGCCTTGTGGAGAGGGGCGGGACGCTGTCCTCCCGAGTAGCTGAGTCTGCCTGCGTTGTTCCCTCTTTTTCTCCACTCTCCGTGCTCCAGGATCAGGTGGGGGTGGCCCTTGCTCCTCGCCTGAACTCTGCCTCTCCTGTTCCTCCTATCCCAGTGGTTCTCAACCTTTTTAATGCCGCGACCCTCCAACCAGTCGTAAGTCGAGGACTACTCAACCGGTCGTAAGTCGAGGACTACTCAACTGGTGCAGCACCGTTTGCAGAATGGGACTTTTGGTGGGCTCAGCAGGGCAGAGACACCCTGGACAATTCCTATTGGCTTTTGAAAGCCAATAGAATTAGACTCTATTCAAGAGAGTCTATTCTATTGGCTTTCAAAAGCCAATAGAATAAAAGGGAGTAGCACAGCTAAGGAAAAGGGGGAAAAAATGGTGGACTGCGTTGTTTGGCGACCCCCCATGAAATGCTTGTTCGATCCCAAATGGGGTCCCGACCCACAGGTTGAGAACCACTGTCCTATCCCACTGCTGAAGGGCCCTGGCCTGCCTCATTCTGCTCTTCCCCACATTCCTCCGAAGCCACAGGCACCCCTCCCTCGGCCTCCATAAGGTCCCGTTCCCATTTTCCTCCTCAGATTCATGACAAATATTATATTCTGTCGTTTTTTTTAGGAAAATCATGGATTCAGGCAAGCTGGATTTCTATGAGCACACCAAAGTTTGCTCGAATACCTGTCGCAGCACTAAAATCGACCTGACCGGAGCCAGGGTGTCCCTCAGCAGCCAGACGTCATCAGAGTACACCCCTCTCACTCCGGCCTCCGCCGACGGTATGTAGAGAAGCCAAACCCGAGGACAGACCGCCGTCAAGACCCCGGAAGGGCAGTTTTCATTCCCACCCTTTTCTTTACAAAACCACCGAGTTCTTTTTCTGGCTACAGTGGTTCAAACCTCTGTAGATCTTCAGCTGTCAACGTCGGAAATGGTTGCCCGATCTTTGTGCCTGCTGCAGTTTGCTGGTCATTCAGCAGCCTGGTCTGTCAGAACCCCCAGCTCGGCCACTGGAAGATGGGAGGACTTCCACTCCCAGAATTCCCAAAGTGGGGAACTCTGGGAGTTGTAGTCCACCCATCTTCAAGCCCTCGAGGTTGAGAAACACTAATCTGAACCCTTTTCAGTGCCAGCTGGGGCATTCAGATACTCTTGACTTTACCAGTTTCCTTCCTCAGCCACGTTTGGGGGCATTTTAAACATTCATAGGAGAAACAGGAGTGTGCCAAGAGCTCCATCTAGTTTTTCAGAGCCTGCGAACGGCCTTTTGATTCATTGTACACCTGACACATTAACTCAGGAAACCTCAATAGGCTTGGTTCTCTTTCTGTAAGCTTTAATTTTGGCTATTTTTTATCTCACTCCTTAACACAGACATGTCAAACACAAGGCCCGGGGGCCGGATGCGGTCCGCAAAGTGGTTTCATGCGGCCCGCAAAGCCATCCTGGAAACAGTGAGGGAACGGCCCCCGCTGCCTTGGCCCTGGCCCAGGCCGGCCGGGAGCCAATGTATAATTTTGTGGTGGCCATCTATGCTGAAACACATTCAGTCTTAGCTCCACGAGGCTGTCTGGAAACAGCGAGGAACCTGCTGTTTCCCTGCCATGTCGGCCCCGTCCCCTGGGTGCATGCTGGGGAGGTGTCACCCTTTGTGAGGAATGAAGAAATGCACCATGTCTTGGCACTTGCCCCGGTCCCACCCCTTCTGCCAGAGACCCTCAGATCTGTCCCACTCCTGCCCAGGCCCCCACAGGCACCCTTGATGCAAATGATGTAGAGCTGGCCATGCCCACCCAGTAGGCCACACCCACTCCATCCACGCCCACCCAGTAGGCCACACCCACTCCATCCACGCACACCCAGTAGGCCACACCCACTCCATCCACGCCCACCCAGTAGGCCACACCCACTCCATCCACGCCCACCCAGTAGGCTGCACCACCCCGGCCACACACACCCCAAGGGCAACCACAATGCTGATGCGGCCCTCAATGAAATTGAGTTTGACACCCCTGCCAGATGAGTGCCGCCTTCCAAATCTGGCTAATGATGATTAAGTTAAATACGTCATAGAGCAATATCTCATATTTTCCTTTTAAGGTTCCTTGCCTGAATTATTTGCAGTTTCTGACAGGTGCCAGTTTCAAAGTCATCAAGATTTCCCTGCGTCTAGTCAATCTTTTCTAGTGTGGGGTGATGATGCGATGTAATCACCTTGTAATAAGCCACAACTTAACATTCCACGTTAGCATGAAGTAATAACACCTGCGCAGCAGCTGAAAATGCTTTGGACCTTGTATGTGCAGAGCCTCTTGCTAATACTTATTAAGGCAGCTCAACCTTTGTCCCTCTTTTCCATTCGCCTATAAAGAGAGGTCACACTGCTCTAAGTTCCCTTGCGAAGGCTAGTTTGATTTTTAAGGCCACGGTGTCTCCTTTTTCAGGGTCATGTGAAAGCCTTAAAAAATAACCTACTTTGAATCACCACAGAAAGGAACTTACTTTCACGTGAGGTCCGATGCAATTCTTCCAAATTGTTTTCAAAATCCGCATGGCTTAATTAAGCGTGACGTCAAAATCTTTTGAGCCTTTGAGTCCTGGTGTTAGAAATGTTTAATGGAGAATAGAGGGCTTTCTGGTTTTTCTCCGGCCACAGCAACCAATGTACAGTAGTGGCCAAAATTGTGGGAAATCTTTTGGAAAAAGTGTATAGTAGAAATGCCCCCTTTGGGTTAAGTTTCCACCTATTTTTCTTCTAATTTCCTTACAACTGTAGCCTCGTTCACTTAATAATACTATTTTACATCGCTTTCTGGACGACCAGTCAACTCTGTGCACCGTGACTTTAACTTTATTACGTTTTACAAGCTCAGTAAAGGAAAGAACACAAAAAACCCCAAACCATTTGATAGCAATCACATAACACACTGATAAATGTCCTCCTCTTAGCTTCAATACAGGACCTCAATATCAGGATCCTACTGTGATCGGATTGGCTCATGGCCAAAGCAAGATAACATCTTATTGGCTCTCTAAAGCAGTGGTTCTCAACCTTTTTAATGCCGCGACCCCCAACCAGTCGTAAGTCGAGGACTACTCAACCGGTCGTAAGTCGAGGACTACTCAACTGTTGCAGCACCATTTGCAGAATGGGGCTTTTGGCGGGCTCAGCAGGGCAGAGACAGCCTGGACAATTCCTATTGGTTTTTGAAGGCCAATAGAATTAGACTCTATTCAAGAGAGTCTATTCTATTGGCTTTCAAAAGCCAATAGAATAAAAGGGAGGAGCACAGCTAAGGAAAAGGGGGGAAAATGGCGGACTGCGTTGTTTGGCGACCCCCGTGAAATGGTCGTTCGACCCCAAATGGGGTCCCGACCCACAGGTTGAGAACCACTGCTCTAAACACTCACGCTCATTGGCTACCATCGTATGAAGGAAAGCTACCTGAGATCAACCTAAGCAAGTTGTGCTTCCTTTTTCTGGTTATTTGGCTATAACTTTTTATAGAATACAGTAGAGATCATGGAACAAACTTGGTTGCATTACATTCTTGATTAAATGATCTTTCCATTGATATATAATTTTATGGTACTACTCCAAGAAAAGGGGTGTTATTAGCCATCCAACCTCAAAAATACACTTTTCCCAAAAGGTTTCCACAATTTTGGCCACTACTGTATAGGAAAATTGAGACTGTCTTTATCAGAGTAAGAGAGTGAAGCCATCCCGCGAGATCAAATGATCATTCTTGCTCCGTTTTCATTGCAGTCAACGGATCTCCGGCCACCATCACCATAGAAACCGAGGATGCCGGCGAGTGGACCACTGCTATCGGAGGTGAAGCTCATAGGGTTTGCTCTTTGACTTTCCCTCAGGACATTTCGTGCAGAACCTGAAAGGCTTTGAAGGGGAAAAAAAAGCCAGATGTGTCAACAGCTGGGTTATCTTTCTGTACGCAGGGCCACAGATCAGCGGAAGAGCCTTTGAGGTCAAGTTTTTGGCACGTCTTAAGTGGAATGGAAAAAGACTCCTCTCCGTGTACTAAAAAGATGCTGATAGCTGGGAAATCTTTTTGAGTGGGGGGAGATCAGTGGCATAATAATAATAATCATCATCATCATCATCCACATTTGACTATCCCAGGTCCTGGGTAAGGACTCGATAGGTAGACAAAATGCCAAATCCAGTCTGAACATCTGGCTGACTGTGCGATGATCCATAATAATAATAATAATACCTCTTTCTTCAATTTTCCTGTTCTTAGCCATCGCCAGATCTTGTTATTATCTGCTTTCCCAGCTATTTTTTTAATGTATTGGCCATGTAGTGCTTTGTCTTCCCATGCCTCTATTCTGTTCTTCATTTGGTCCTTCTTGTAGGCCAGTTTGGTCACTCCAGTAGTTGGTAAGCCTTCCTGATATACTAATTTCAGTGCATCTTCATCATTGTTCTTCAGATATTCTTCCAAAGTCATTTTTTCTTCTTCAACCATCTGATGTACTCGTAGCATTCCACGCCCACCTATTTGCCTTGGTAGATAAAGTCTGTCAATGTCATTATTATTATTATGGATCATCGCACAGTCAGCCAGATGTTCAGACTGGATTTGGCATTTTGTCTACCTATCAAGTCCTTACCCAGGACCTGGGATAGGCAGATGTGGATGTTTTATGGTATTACAGATATCGTCGCAGGATGGAAGCAGTTCCTAGTAAGGCCGCCTTTTGCAATTGACTAATGGCGAATTTGTCAATGCCAATTGTGTTCAAGTGGTGCTCCAGTTGTTTTGGGATTGCACTCAAGGAGCCTATCACTATTGGTACTACCCTTGCTTGCTTTTGCCACAGTCTTTCTATTTCTATTTGTAGGTCTTTGTATTTTTGTATTATTACTATTATTATTATTATTATTATTATTATTATTATGGATCATCGCACAGTCAGCCAGATGTTCAGACTGGATTTGGCATTTTGTCTACCTATCGAGTCCTTACCCAGGACCTGGGATAGGCAGATATGGATGTTTGATGGTATTACAGGTATCGTCGCAGGATGGAAGCAGTTCCTAATAATAATAATAATAATAATAATAATAATAATAATAATAATACAGTTGGAAGGGACCTGGGAGGTCATCTAGTCCAAACCCCTGCTCAGGCAGGAAACCCTATACCATTTCGGACAAATGGCTGTCCAGTCTCTTCTTAAAAACTTCCGGTGTTGGAGCATTTACTGCTTCTAGAGGCAGGCTGTTCCATTGATTAATTGTTTTAACTTTCAGGAAGTTTCTCCTTAGTTCTAGGTTGCTTCTCTCCTTGATGAGTTTCCACCCGTTGCTTCTTGTCCTGCCTTCAGGCGCTTTGGAGAAGAGCTTGACTCCCTCTTCTTTGGGGCAGCCCCTGAGATACTGGAACGTGGCTAAACAATTGGAATATAAAAACATTTTTAATTTGCAAAAAGATTAGATACAGGTAGTCCTTGACATAACGACCACAACTGAGCCCAAAACCTCTGTTGCTAAGCGAGACAGTCCTGAAGTGAATTTTACCCCAAGTCAGCGCCTTTCCTGCCGCGGTTGTAAAATGAATCACTGCAAGCAGTTAAGTTAGTGACACTGTCGTTAATGGGTTAATGTTAATGTCTGCCCCATGAACTTTGTCTGTCAGAAGGTTGCAAAGTGTGTGATCCCGGAACACACAAATTGCACACCGGTTGCCAAACATCCAAATTTTGATCACGTGACCGTGGAGGATGGCAAGTGTGAAAAATGGTCGTAAATCACTTTTTTTTCAGTGCTGTTGTGAGTTCAAACGGTCATGAAACCAATGGTTGTAAGTTGAGGACTATCTGTACTTTAGGACCGGGGTCCCCAACCTGTGGGCCGCAGCCCTCTAGTACCGGGCGGTGGCCTATCGGCCACCAGGCCACATGACTGGCTGACCATTGCACGTGTGTGTACATGCAGGCACGCAGCCACACATTCGTGAACGTTGCCACAAGCGTCACAGGCATTTGCAGCCTTGTGTGAATGTCGCCACAAGCGTTGTGGGCTATTTTGGTCCCATTCGCACGATTGCTCACAGCCCCACTCGTGCGAGCAACGGGAGTTCGTGTGTGTGCATGCATTCACACCCACATACACACACACAAAGCATCCTTCTTTACCACCCTCCCCACACTCTAGGCCGTCAATCATGAATGGTTGGGGAACGCTAGGTCAGGGCTTTTCAACCAGTGGTACGGGTACCACCTGTGGTACATTGGCACCTGGCAGGTGATACGTGACCATCCTAGAAAAGTGGTAGTAGGGGAGGGGAATGAGCTGAACCGGTGGCAGCACCGCACAAGCCTGAGCGAGAGATGGCTGGAGCTGCAGGGCTGTCAGGGCTCAATGGAAGCGCCAGTATCAGCGCCAGGCTCCAGCTGGAGCTCGGAGCTGATCCTGGCACTTCTGCTAAGCCCAGAAGAAGCGCCAATCAGCTGGAAAGCAGCACTGATCCTGGTGCTTCTGCTGAGCCCAGAAGAAGCACCAATCAGCTGGAATGTTGCAGCATCTCCAGGGTCTTGTGATTTACATTCAGATGCTTGGCAACTGATTCATATTTATGACTGTCACAGTGTCCCAGGGTCATGTGAAGTGACCAAAACCTGCTGTAACCACCCAGCAGACGGGGGGAATAAAAACCAAACACCACCCCCATCCCCCCCCCCCGCTGCCAATCCTCAACAGAAATGCTCACAACAATGAAAACCTCGGACAGAAGGAAGAGCGCTGCCGGGCGGGCAGGCAGGCGTCTTGCTCGGCTGTGGCTTGGGGGGCACTTTTTTCAGTGCCATTGTAACTTCAAAGCATCACTAAGCGAACTGTTGTAAGTCGAGGACTATCTGTACTTTATCACTTTTTTCCTTTTGGGGGGGTCATCAAGTTTTTGACCCCTTGCTAGGTGACTGGTGGTCCTCGGATGTTGCCATATCCTAAAAGTGGTGCAATGGGTGAAACGATTGAAAAGCCCTGCTTTAGGAGAAGGCATGGCAGAAACTGGGGGTGGAGATAAAAGAGGGATCAGCGTAGCATCCTCACATAGGCCTAAGCACACCTGAATCCAGCCCCCCTCAAATTCCAGTAATCCTTGTCTAACTCCAGGCAGGTGCTAACCACGAGTTGAGAAGATCAGTGTCAGGAGTGGAACATCGGGTCCAATTAAACTGATTTGTTGCTAAAAAGACTATGCTCAACTCACGATTAGCATCTGCTTGGGGTTAGATAAGGGTCCACGGAACTCTGCACACGTGGGGCACTCGGCCAGCAACCCACATTTATGGCCACTGGCCGTGTCCCACCCTCACACGACTGCGGCCTTGTAGTTTTGGGGCCAAAAAAGTCTCGTAGCAAACCGCAGTTTCGCTTTACGACCAATAAGATTGTAAAAATAGATAGTCACACAGCGATCCACTTAATGACTGTCAGGACCTCACAATGTACCATTTGTGGAACATGATTGCGGGGCACATGAGGAGGCAGCTTGTTGGGTTCCCTCAGCTACCTATCAAGGCATCTGTGGAGATTGTCAGTCACCCAGGTGGTTCCGGTTGTCCCGAAAAGGTGCTTTTTCAAGAGGCAACTGGACCGTCCTGGTTTTGTGCTGGAAGGCGTTTCGCTCTTCATCCGAGAAGCTTCTTCATTTCGGACTGAATGGTGGGGAAACGGAAGGATTTATGTTCCTGGCAGTCATCTGGTCGTTTGTCCTCTTTCTGAGAGTCGTTGAGGCCACTCGGAGGCTTATCTGTGCCCTCGGGGTCACCCGAATCAGAGTGCAGACCGGTGTGGAACCTTTCTGGAACCGCCAAAAGGACCCCGTCGTAAACAGGAAATAGGTGGGGTCATGTCCCTCCCCCTCCGTTGAGAGAGGGCTGTTCAATTTTAACCCTGATGGCCTCTTCGGCCCCTCTTTCAGACCAGCGGTCCTCTCCGTCCAGAACAGTGTTTCTCAACCTTGACAATTTTAAGGCATGTGGACTTCAACTCCCAGAATTCCACAGCCAGCATTGCTGGCTGTGGAATTCTGGGAGTTGAAGTCCACATGCCTTAAAATTGTCAAGGTTGAGAAACACTGGTCCAGAAGGTGGACTTGGCGGTCTTCAAAACAGAGAACGAACCGCCGGCCTTCAGAGCGCTAACGGCGCAACACGGACTCATCCCCGTCTTCAACCGGGAAGGGACCCAGGGCAGAAAAACATCCTGCCCCCAAGAAGGCTCCACACCCATTTGCACCACACTCAGGTGACCCCGAGGACACAGGTCAACCTCCAGGTGGCCTCAACGACTCTCTAAAACAGACATGTCAAACACAAGGCCCGGGGCCCGGATGCGGCCCAGTTTCATGCGGCCCGCGAAGCCATCCTGGAAACAGTGAGGGAACGGCCCCCCCGCTGCTTTGGCCCAGGCCAGCCGGGAGCCAATGTACAATTTTGTGGTGGCCATCTATGCTGAAACGCATTCGGTCTTAGCTCCACGAGGCCGTCTGGAAACAGCGAGGAACCAGCCCCTGCCGCGTCGGCCCCGCCCCCTAAATGCATGCTGGGGAGGGGTCACCCTTTGTGAGGAATGGACCATGCCTTGGCGCTTTCCCCGGTCCCACCCCCTTCTGCCAGAGACCCTCAGATCTGTCCCACTCCTGCCCAGGCCCCCACGGGCATCCTTGACGCGAACGGTGTAGAGCTGGCCACACCCACCCAGTAGGCCACACCCACTCCATCCACGCCCACCCAATAGGCCTCACCCACCCTGGCCACACCCACCTGCCCCCCCCCGAGCGTAACAGCAATGCTGATGCGGCCTTCAATAAAATTTGAGTTTGACACCCCTGCTCTAAACCAGTGGTTCTCAACCTTTTTAATGCCGTGACCCCCAACCGGTCGTAAGTCAAGGACTACTCAACCGGTCGTAAGTCAAGGACTACTCAACGGGTGCAGCACCGTTTGCAGAATGGGACTTTTGGCGGGCTCAGCAGGGCAGAGACAGCCTGGACAATTCCTGTTGGCTTTTGAAAGCCAATAGAATTAGACTCTATTCAAGAGAGTCTATTCTATTGGCTTTCAAAAGCCAATAGAATAAAAGGGAGTAGCACAGCTAAGGAAAAGGGGGGGGGAAATGGCGGACTGCATTTGGCGACCCCCGTGAAATGGTCGTTCGACCCCAAATGGGGTCCTGACCCACAGGTTGAGAACCACTGCTCTAAAAGAAGGCAAATGACCAGCGGCCTTTTAGTTTTGGGACTAGGACTACAAACCCATCCATCCTCCGGCATTCGGTCGGAACCGAAGAAGCTTCTTGGACAGGAAGCGAAACGCCTTCAAGGGGAAAAACGAAAACAAATCAAAATCCAGTTGGGTTGTCAAAAGCTGTCTCTCCTTTTTCTTCAGAGGACGTCTTTACATTTTGGCAAGGGCTGAAAGACGCCGGGTTGCTTGAAGAAGTGGTGCAGGAGTTCAGGATGGAGTTCACGGAAGCGGTGAGGGGTCTGCAGCAGAGGATCCAGGAGCTGCCTTTGCAGCTGAACGGTGAGGAGCAGACACCGCAGTGCTTCCCCTGGTAGAGAGAGGGTTTGGCAGCTTCCTAGAATGTATTTGCGGGCTGTCCTCGGCTTACGGCCATTCGTTTAACAACAGGTTGAGGTTACAGCCACGCTGAAAAAGGGCCTTATGACTGCAGTGGTTGTAAATGTGGAAAACGGTCATAAGTAGGCCTTTTTTTCTCATAGAACGCCCAGAACGGAGTTCCGGCACCTTTTTTGGATGGAACCTTGTAGGGTAGGCAAGGCGGGTTGTATGACGTGTGAGTTCCGGCACTTTTTTTTTTTTTTTTTTTTTTTTTTTTTTTTTTTTTTTTTTTTTTTAGAAAAAAAGCACTGGTCGTAAGTCACCTTTTTCAGTGCCGTTGTAACTTCGAACGGTCACTAAAGAAACTGTTGTAAGTCGAGGACTGCCTGTACAAAAATGACTAAACACAATAATTGCATTACTATAATTTTCTACATACACTATCTTTTATTAATAACAACAACAGAGTTGGAAGGGACCTTGGAGGTCTTCTAGTCCAACCCCCTGCTCAGGCAGGAAACCCTATACCAGGGGTAGGCAACCTTGGCTGACTCGTGGACTTCAACTCCCAGAATTCCTGAGCCAGCTACGCTGAGGGGAAAGAGAGAGGTTTCCAAGCTGAGCCAGGCTGGCTCAGGAATCCTGGGAGTTGAAGTCCACGAGTCATAAAAGAGCCAAGGTTGCCTACCCCTGGCCTATTCCATTGTTTCTCCACCTCAGCATCTTTAAGATGTGTGGACTCCAACTCCCAGAATTCCTGAGCCAGCCATGTTGAGGGGAAAGGGAGAGGTTTCCATGCTGCGCCATGGCTGGCTCAGGAATTCTGGGAGTTGAAGTCCACGAGTCATAAAAGAGCCAAGATTGCCTACCCCTGGCCTATACCATTTCAGACAAATGGCTGTCCAGTCTCTTCTTAAAAACTTCCAGTGTTGGAGCATTCACAGCTTCTGGAGGCAGGTAGTTCCACTGGTTAATTGTTGTCACTGTCAGGAAGTTTCTCCTTAGTTCTAGGTTGTTTCTCTCTTTGATTAGTTTCCATCCGTTGCTTCTTGTCCTGCCTTCAGGCGCTTTGGAGAATATATGATGCTTTATAGAGTATGAAAAGTAAAACCATCATCTCGCTTTTCTGTTTCAAGAAAGCTTAAAATCTCAGAGCAAAGGCAGCGTGTACATTTGCTTCATTTTAGCTAAGAAAGAGGAATTTTGAGGAAATTCCTACATTGTCCTTCCCACCCGCCACTATCAATAAGGGAGATGGGTTGATTTGGGGATGGGGATGCATAAAAAGCTTTCCGTTGCCCATGTTTTGCTTTGCCATCCTTCACTTCCATCAGATGCCATCCTGCTGAACAACATCGTCCAAAACTTTGGCATGCTGGACCTGGTGAAGAAAGTTTTGGCCAGTCACAAGTGCCAAATGGACCGTTCCAGAAAGCAATACACGCGAGACTTGGCAGGTACCACCTCCTCTTCCTATTTCTTCCTTGAGTTCTGTCACCTGGTATGGGGCAGGTAGTCCTCGGGCTTACGACCTCAATTGAGCCCATTACTAAGCAAGACAATTGTTAAGTGAGTCTTGCCCCATTTTACGAGCTTTCTTGCTACCGTTGTTAAGTGGATCACTACAATTGTTAAGTTAGTCATATGGTGGTGAAGGCTTCCCCGTTGACTTTGCTTGTCGAACATCGCAAAAGGAGGATTGTGACCGTCATAAAGCCAGTGGCCAAGCATCCAAATTTTGATGATGTGACCGAGGGGATCCTGCAAAAGTCTTTTAAGTGTGAAAAATGGTCACAATTCACATTTTTTTCAGTGCTTTTGTAACTTTGAAGAGTCACTGAATGAATGCTTGTAAGTTGAGAACTGCCTGTATGAAAGCCCCACCCTTGGATGTGGGTTTGAGAAAGGAATAATAATAATCAGGGAACTGGAAATGGGAGTTTTAAAGGGAATAAATAAAGGAATGGGGAATGGTTAGCCTTGAGCAAAAAGCATTGGGGGAATGTGTATGGGGCACAATTGTGGCCCCGCAAGCAATCTTGGATGCCCGAAGAATAGTGGGTTCTAGTCCCGCTTTAGGCATGAAAGCTGGCTGGGTGACTTTGGGCCAATCACCAGGAGACGGTGAATTCTAGTCCCGCCTTAGACATGAAAACCAACTGGGTGACTTTGGGCCAATCACCAGGAGACAATGAGTTCTAGTCCCGCCTTAGACAGACAGACAGACAGACAGACAGACAGACAGACAGACAGACAGACAGACAGACAGACAGACAGACAGATAGATAGATAGATAGATAGATAGATAGAATATGTGATTGGGTGGGTGGGTAGGTTGATAGATAGATAGATAGATAGATAGATAGATAGATAGATAGATAGATAGATAGATAGATAGATAGATAGATAGATAGATAGATAGATAGATAGGATGCATAGATAAGATAGATGGATCGATATAGATAGATAGATAGATAGATAGATAGATAGATAGATAGATAGATAGATAGATAGATGGATAGATGGATATGATAGATATAGATAGATAATATAGATAGATAGATAGATAGATAGATAGATAGATAGATAGATAGATAGATAGATAGATAGATAGATAGATAGATAGATAGATAGATAGATAGATAGATAGATAGATAGAATTTGTGATTGGGTGGGTGGGTAGGTTGATAGATAGATAGATAGATAGATAGATAGATAGATAGATAGATAGATAGATAGATAGATAGATAGATAGATAGATAGATAGATAGATAGATAGATAGATAGATAGATAGATAGAATTTGTGATTGGGTGGGTGGGTAGGTTGATAGATAGATAGATAGATAGATAGATAGATAGATAGATAGATAGATAGATAGATAGATAGATAGATAGATAGATAGATAGAATCAGTGGTGGGATTCAAATATGGGAACAACCAGTTCTCTGTGTGGATGCTGCTTCCAGAAGTCCATTCTGGGCCTGGGCAACAAAAAATTAGTTAGAGGTTCTGCCGAAGTGGTGCGAATCCCACCGATAGATAGGTAGGTGGGTAGGTAGATAGATAGATAGATAGATGGATAAATAGATAGATAGATAGATAGATAGATAGATAGATAGATAGATAGATAGATAGATAGATAGATAGATAGACAGACAGACAGACAGACAGACCTTTATTGTCATTTTTTCTTGTGGGCACAACGGCACACATTAAAAATGACATTTAGTTGTTTCCTCTCAAAGTGCCTGATTGGGGCTGCACGCACGAACACTTGCGTGAGTGGAGCTACGTGCGCAGGTCTTCTTTCCCGCTGCTTGCGGGGCCCGGTTCCGAGTGGGCTGCAGCCCCGGGGTTGGGGACCCCTGTCTTAGACACGGTGCAGTGTAAGAGGGGAAGCCACGGTCTGCTCTAGCCTTGCCCTTTGACTTTTGCCAACGTCCCGCCTGCTCCCCGTGGCCTTCATCTGTCTCCTCTCCCGCCCCTTCATCTTTCCATCCCCAGCTCTGGAGCAGCAGTGTGACGAGCACCGCAAGAGAGCCAAGGAGCTGAAGTACAAATCCCAGCATCTCAACAACGTGCTGATGACCTTGACGCCCGTCTCCATCCCCTCCCCTCTCAAACGCCCCCGGCTAACCCGGGCCACATCAGGACCACCGGCCATCACCTCCCAACTCCTGACTCAGTCGGCCCAGATTGCCGTGGCTCCAGGCGTGCCGGTCACCCAGCTGGCCGGTTTGCCCATCGGCAAAGTAGTCTCCGCCCTGCCGGCGTCTGCTCTGGCCAAGGCCACCGCCCAGGTGACGTCAGCCGGCTCGCCCATCTCCTCGCTGCTGGGCGGATACACCATCTTGGCGTCGGCGGGTTCCGCCTTCTCCAACGCGGTGGAAATCCATCCGGAAGCCTCCAACCTCACCGTCTTGAGCACCGCGGCCATCCAGGACAGCAGCACGGTGGTCAAAGTGGTGAGCCCTTTCCAGCTGCTCACCCTTCCAGGGCTGGGCACGGCCATCCAGAACGTGACGCAGGTGTCTCCCGGGGGCAGCACCATTGTGGCTGTGCCATCCAGCATAATGGAAGGCGCTTCGGCCACGGAGGAACACACCACCATTGAGGTGACCACCGTAGCGGACGAGCCTCAGCAGAAATGAAACGCAGACGTTGGGTCCATTTTTTGGGGGGGGAAGTGCTCCGGGCTTACGGACCCGTCCCTTGGAGGAGAAGACGGCGAAAACGAAGAAGAGAGTGCTGGGGAAAAAAGGAAGGGAAAACGGATCAGCTGATGGAGGAATAGGGAGGTTGAAATCATAAAGAGAAGAAAGATGAAAAGAGACCCCAAAACGAAGGGAGAAAGGCACTGAAGCGGCAGGAAAAACACCCCTGTTCCTGGGATCCATTACAGGCGCTAATCTTTGCACCCCCAGCTTGTAAGCGCTCCCCCCCCCCCATCTCTAGCCAGCTCTGGGAAACCGAGGCAGCTGAGACAGGTTTCAAAGCATGAAACAGTTCACCAAACCAGGCAGGCCAAAGGATTAGGTAGCCAGACAGGAATATTTTAAAAATATTTCAGGGCTGGCAAGAAGGGTGTGTTTGGGGGGGGGGGGTCCCAGTACCAGGCAATTGCCTGAATGTTTGGTTAGGGGGCTGATGGACTGTTTCTCTGCCAGAATGGAGGTGGATAAAAAAATCTGGCATTTGCCCCTGGGAGAAATGTAGAAGGAGCCCTGTTGCGGTTTGCCAAAAGGCGCAGGGGACAGGGAATAGCGGCTTGAAAAATTGGGAAAGTCCCGTGAGGACGCAGGAGGCTTGAAAGGGAGATGGGGTGGGGGGGAGACTTTGGTGAAGGACTTGAAAGAGCTTCTATTTGCTGAGGCTCCCCCTTCCCCCCCCCCCAGCTTGCATCTCAGCCCCAGAGCATTCAAGAGGAAGCCCTGGCCAAACTGCTGAAAGTGTTGGGGGGATTTTCCCCTCCCCCCCAAGCGGGTCTGTCCTCCATGGCTACCCAGCCTTATCCTCCCCACCCCCAAGTGCAGGGGTAGGCCACCTTGGCTCTTTTATGACTCGTGGACTTCAACTCCCAGAATTCCTGAGCCAGCCACGCTGAGGGAAAAGGGAGAGGTTTCCAAGCTGAGCCATGCTGGCTCAGGAATTCTGGGAGTGGAAGTCCACGAGTCATAAAAGCGCCAAGGTTGCCTACCCCTAGTCTAAATCCAACATTGGGTCCTTCAGTGGCATCCTAGGACAGGGGTAGGCCACCTTGGCTCTTTTATGACTCGTGGACTTCAAATCCCAGAATTCCTGAGCCAGCCACGCTGAGGAGAAAGGGAGAGGTTTCCAAGCTGAGCCATCCTGGCTCAGGAATTCTGGGAGTTGAAGTCCACGAGTCATGAGGGGGGAGTAGTTTGGCTCCCAGCTGAGCTCCAGGAATTCTGGGAGTTGAAGTCCTACGAGAATCCTTAGGCCAATGACTCGTGGACTGAATTCCTGAGCCAGCCACGCTGAGGAGAAAGGGAGAGGTTTCCAAGCTGAGCCATGCTGGCTCAGAAATTCTGGGAGTTGAAGTCCACCAGTCATGAGGGGGCCATAGTTCCCCTATGCTGGCTCAGGAATTCTGGGAGTTGAAGTCCACGAGTCATAAAAGAGCCAAGGTTGAAGACCCCTGGTTTAAATATTTAAATATTTTTTCCTCACAGTCACGTGATCAAAATTCAGACATTTGGGCCGGGGTAGGCAACCTTGGCTCTTTTATGACTCATGGACTTCAACTCCCAGAATTCCTGAGCTAGAATGGCTCAGCTTGGAAACCTCTCCCTTTCCCCTCAGCGTGGCTGGCTGAGGAATTCTGGGAGTTGAAGTCCACGAGTCACGAGGGGGACATAGTTCCCCCATGCTGGCTCAGGAGTTCTGGGAGTTGAAGTCCACCAGTCATGAGGGGGCCATAGTTCCCTCATGCTGGCTCAGGAATTCTGGGAGTTGAAGTCCACGAGTCATAAAAGAGCCAAGGTTGAAGACCCCTGGTTTAAATATTTAAATATTTTTTCCTCACAGTCACGTGATCAAAATTCAGACATTTGGGCCGGGGTAGGCAACCTTGGCTCTTTTATGACTCATGGACTTCAACTCCCAGAATTCCTGAGCTAGAATGGCTCAGCTTGGAAACCTCTCCCTTTCCCCTCAGCGTGGCTGGCTCAGGAATTCTGGGAGTTGAAGTCCACGAGTCCTAAAAGAGCCAAGGTGTCCTACCCCTGCCCCAGTGCATCAGCACTTTAGGCTGGAAAAGAGTTTTTGCCAAAAAAGAAGGGGAACTCCTGCTTGTTCCGGCTGACTTGAGGGACTTGAGACTTGAGGGTGTGGGGAGAAGAAGAAGAAGTCCTCGGGAGGAGAAGCATCTCCTGTCGGAAGCGGCAAGTGTTCGGATTCTCACCCAGGTGAGTTTTGGGCCTATTGGAAGAGGTGGAATCAAGTCTGTTGGGTAACATTAAAATCTGTTTTTCAAGCTCGCCTTGTGCTCGTGGGTTCTTGCCCCGTTCCTGTGGGGTGTGCACAGCGGTTTGGCCATTTGAAGCTCCAGTAGGTTTGTCTGAACCTTTTTCTCCAAGCCAGGTTGAAATTTGTGGTTTGTAATCCACCCAAAGTCGGGGGGGGGGGGGGAGGGGTTGGCCCAGAAGCTTCTTCAGCTCTGACCGGATAGTGGGGAAGGGAAGGATTTATACTCCTTGCAGACAGCTGGTCATTTGCATTCTTTTAGAGGGTCGTTGAGGCCACCTGGAGGTTTGCCTGTGTCCTCAGGGTCTCCTGAGTGATGCAACTGTTGAAAGGACTATATTGTAGACTCCATGTGGCCTCAACCAGGGCTTTTCAACCAGTGGTACGGGTAGCACCTGTGCTACATTGGCACCTGGCAGGTGGTATGCAACCATCCCAGAAAAGTAGCGGGGGAGGGGAATGAGCTGAACCGGTGGCAGCACCGCACAAGCCTGAGCGAGAGACGGCTGGAGCTGCAGGGCTGTCAGGGCTCAGCGGAAGCGCCAGGATCAGTGCCGCTTTCCAGCTGATCGGCACTTCTTCGAGGCTGTCAGGGCTCAGTGGAAGCGCCAGGATCAGCGTCAGGCTCCAGCTGGAGCTCGGTGCTGATCCTGGTGCTTCTGCTGAGCCCAGAAGAAGCACCAATCAACTGGAAAGTGGCACTGATCCTGGTGCTTCTGCTGAGCCCAGAAGAAGCGCCGATCAGCTGGAATGTTGCAGCATCTCTGGGGTCTTGTGATTTACATTCAGATGCCTGGCAACAGATTCATATTTATGATGGTCACAGTGTCCCAGGGTTACGTGAAGTGACTAAAACCTGCTGCAACCACCCAGCAGACGGGGGGAATAAAAACCAACCCCCACCCCACCCCCGCTGCCAATCCCCAATAGAAATGCTCACAACAATGAAAACCTCCGACAGGAGGAAGAGCACCGCCAGGCGGGCAGGCAGGTGTCTTGCTCGGCTGTGGCTTGGGGGGCACATTTTTCAGTGCCATTGTAACTTCGAAGAGTCACTAAGCGAACTGTTGTAAGTCGAGGACTACCTGTACTTTATCACTTTTTTCATTTTTTATTTTTTTTTTTTTTTTGGTTATCAAGTTTTTGACACCTTACTAGGTGACTGGTGGCACTTGGATGTTGCCATATCCTAAAAGTGGTACAATGGGTGAAAAGGTTGAAAAGCCCTGGCCTCAAGGACTCTCTAAAAGGAGGTAAATGACCAGCTGTCTGCAAGGCGTATAAATCCTTCCATTCCCCACCATCCAGTCAGAGCTGAAGAAGCTTCTGGGATGAGAAATGAAACGTCTTCAAAAGAAACACAAGAAAGTCCAGTTGCCTCGTGGAAAAAAGAGACAAAAAAAGCACCTTTTGGACAACCAAGACGTGGATGACTGAGAACCTCCTTAGACACTTGTAATCCACCGTTTACAGGTGAGAGCAATTTTTCTCCAGCTTGGCCACTTTAAGATGGATGGACTTCACGTTTCATGCTGGCTGGGGAATTCTGGGAGTTGAAGTCCATCCATCTTAAAGTGGCCAAAGTTGAGAAACGCTGGTTGAGATTCTTCTATACATTGAGCCAACTTCATCATCATCATAAAAAAAAGTTGGAAGGGACCTTGGAGGTCATCTAGTCCAACCCCCCTGCTCAGGCAGGAAACCCTATGCCATTTCAGACAAATGGCTGTCCAGTCTCTTCTTAAAAACTTCCAGTGTTGGAGCATTCACAGCTTCTGGAGGCAGGTTGTTCCACTGGTTCATTGTTCTAACTGTCAGGAAGTTTCTCCTTAGTTCCAGGTTGCTTCTCTCCTTGATTAGTTTCCATCCGTTGCTTCTTGTCCTGCCTTCAGGCGCTTTGGAGAATAGCTTGACTGCCTCTTCTTTGGGGCAGCCCCTGAGATATTGGAGCACTGTTATGTCCCCCCCTCGTCCTTCTCTTCATTAAACCAGACATACCCAATTCCAGCAACCGTTCCTTATATGTTTTAGCCTCCAGTCCCCTTATCATCTTTGGGCAAAAAGTCACAAAATGGGGCATGTTTCACTTAATGCCCTACTTAGCAATGCAGATTTGGGGCCCAGTGACAGTCATAAATCAAGAACTAACTGTACTCTTTGCTTTTTACTTTAATCAGATTGAGCTACTATCTACACATGGATGTCCTTTAGCTTACCAATTTAGGCTGGGGAACTTACTTTTTTTTTCATTTCCCGTTTTCTTCCTCTGTGTCCTTCTCTACCTCTTGCCACTTACAATCTCACACATTTCAGACAAAAGGAAGATTTATTTTCATAAAATTAATATTTGGTCTGAATGGTGCTCTCTTCTCTGGCAGCCATGAAGTGGGGATAGAGATGCATTAGAAAGCATTATGATTAAAAAAAAAAAAAAGAACTGCAAATAATTTCCGAATGAATTAAAAAAAAAATCCCAGTGTTAACAGGCAAATCATGCCGTCAAATTATTGAGCAGAAAATTCTTTTTCAGTGCTGATATGAAGGAAAGCAGAATGGGCAGAGAATAGAATAGAATAGAATCATGGAATGGAATGGAACGGAATGGAATAGAATCATGGAATGGAATAGAATCATGGAATAGAATAGAATAGAATCATGGAATGAAGTAGAGTAGAGTAGGATAGAACAGAATAGACATAATATAGAATAGAATCATGGAATAGAATAGAATCATGGAATAGAATAGAACAGAATAGAAGCGAAGCTAGAAGGGATCTTGGAGGTCATCTAGTCCAACCCCCTGCTCAGGCAGGAAACCCTATCCCATTTCGGACAAATGGCTGTCCAGTTTCTTCTTAAAAACTTCCAGTGTTGGAGCATTCACCGCTTCTGGAGGCAGGTTGTTCCACTGGTTAATTGTTACACTGTCAGGATATTTTTCTTAGTTCTAGGTTGCTTCTCTCTTTGGTTAGTTTCCATCCGTTGCTTCTTGTCCTGCCTTCAGGCGCTTTGGAAAAGTAGCTTGACTCCCTCTTCTTTGTGGCAGCCCCTGAGATATTGGAATACTGCTATCATGTCCCCCCTTTGTCCTTCTCTTCATTAAACTAGACATACCCAATTCCAGCAACTGTTCCTCATATGTTTTAGCCTCCAGTCCCCTAATCATCTTGGTTGCTTTTCTCTGTACTTTTTCTAGAGTCTCAACATCTTTTTTACATCATGGTGACCAAAACTGGATGCAGTATTCCAAGTGTGGCTTTACCAAGGCATTGTAAAGTGGCATTAATACTTCACGTGATCTTGATTCTGTTCCTCTGTTAATGCAGCCCAGCACTGTGTTGGGTTTTTTTTTGGCAGCTGCCGCACACAGCTGGCTCATATTTAAATGATTGTCCACTAGGACTCCGAGATCCCTCTCACAGTTATTACTATTGAGCAAGGTACCCCCTATACTATACCTGTACATTTGGTTTTTCTTGCCTAAATGTAGAACCTTACTTTTTTCACCGCTGAATTTCATTTTGTTAGATAGCGCCCAGTATTCAAGTCTGTCCAGATCCTCCTGTATCCTAAGCCTGTCTTCTGGAGTGTTGGCTATTCCTGCCAGCTTGGGGTTGTCTGCAAATTTGATGAGTTCCCCATCTATCCCTTCGTCCAAATCGTTGATGAAGATGTTGAAGAGCACTGGGCCCAGCACAGAGCCCTGGGGCACCCCACTACACACTTCCCTCCATGTAGATGCGATTCCATTGAGGACCACACGCTGAGTACGGCCTGTCAGCCAGCTACGGATCCATCTGGTGGTGATGCTGTCTAACCCACATTTTTCTATCTTATCAAGTAGTAGGTTGTGGTCTACTTTGTCAAATGC